TCTCGCCAGATTTTCACATCATCAGCTTATAATAACATTAGAGACTCAACTATACTTCGGAGATAAATAACATAAAGTACATAAAGTAACGGATCTAAGACAGAACCTTGCGGTACTCCACCAAGTACTGGTTTTCAGGTGGAGCTCTTCGAATCTATACTTACGTTCTGTCTACGACCTACTACGAAATCCTGGAACCCTTCTAGGAGACGCATGTCAGTGTTAAGCCCTTCCAGCTTCAGTTTGTCTCGGGATTCTCGGGTCTAGCTCATCCAGTCCTGTCGACTTTTCCATGTCTGAGGTGCAAAAACCTCACGTACATTGTCTTGATCAAAGTCCGGGGTGAGCAGACGGTTTGTTTAGTCTCCTGGCCTAGATCTTCATCTGGAGGAGGCTCCTTAAAAGAAACTACCCCTAAATAGTTCGCCATAACATCTGCAATTTCCTGATCATCCTCTATCATTCGGTATCCATTACCTTCATTAATTAGGTTGGGAATCAAATGCTGCATCCTAATATATGCGGGTGGGGACTCACTAGCCTAATTCCTTTATGTGTGATTCATAGACGCGTCCTCTGTTGTTGCATAGTCATGACAACATGAAATTGCGCGCCCCACTAATTCCCTAATTTATTTAAGAGAATATTCTCTTGGCCTCTTTGATTGCTGAAAGTGTCAAGTACAATTCATATTTTCGCTGGGCTTCCCGGGTTTTAATTGTACACGATTTCTTACCGACTCGTAGCATTCCATTGCACTTCCTGTGTCAAGGCTGGTGGCAATGTTTCAACGTTCCAGAAAATGTCGAATATCCCGGCCCATTCAGCAACGGATGTGCTTCTTTTTTGGAACGGTCCAGGGTTTATTTGTTTAAGTGCATGCCTCGTCTACTGATTCTTTTGAGTCAGCAATTCAGTTTTCAGACGATCCTGCACAGATTATCGCCTCAGTGTCTGCTATCCATGTGTTAAGACGCGCTGGCACAACTATTTGACAGGCCATCTAGGACATGAACTTGAATAAGACGACTATATTATCACTTCTCCCTAGAGATGGAAGGAAAGTCATTTGACCGACATCATCTCCATGTAACGCTGTGTGCGTCAGCCGTAAGGTTCCAATTATAGTCTGCCGTCCGACTATCAACCGGGACGTTGGTTGATTGCAATGTGAAAATAATAAAGTGATCGTTTGTGTAATAATTGAACGACGATTGTTTGAAGAACTCAGTTGATAAATAAAATAATTAGTAAAGCAGACAGTTTGATGGGATCAGAGAGTGTGAATATAAGGAAGACATAAATGTTTGTAAGGGAGGTAGATGTAATTATGTGATATGGATTAACGATGACAATTAGTAAGTTTAGAGACGCGCACCAGACAAAGCCAAACTAATCAGAGAATGATAATCCATGACTAACTAATTGTCAAGTCTCTTCTTGTTAGCAATGTTCTGGTGGGATGTTTGTGTTGAAGCGAATTTGCGAACTTAGTATGTTGTGTGTAATTTTTAGATAACCTCTTATCTTCTTATAGCTGAGTGTGAATAATCCCAAATCTTCGAGTTTAGTTTGTCTTCGTATAGAGTGAAGAATTAGACTTAGATTGCCTCAATCTCAAATTGATTCAAGCTAGCTTGGTTTCTAGCACGAGATCGCGCTTTGAGTAGATAGTCGAGAGAGGAGACTCATACGGAGTGTGAATGCCTTACACCGACTGGAGTAAGCAGGTTGTTTGAATCACTTGAGGAAGAATGTCCACGACGAGGAATTTTCATAGTTTATGTTTTAATCTGCCTGTTTCTCAATTGCTGTAAAATAATTATAAAGCTCATTTAATCTTTTATATGCCTCCATATATTTGTGTCCTTCTCATATGTGTGTACCATTGAGCTAATTCTTCTTAGAAATTTATTAGAAATCAGGGTGATCAATGAACCTGACATGGTAGAGCATTTGAAATTTTCTGTTTGTGTTAGACTCTCCTTTACACTCATATCAAGCATCTTGAGCCTCACTTAAGCCAGGATCTCCACTTTTCAGGTGTTTACACTACTTCTGATGTGTTGATTATACAGGCAGTGTAATCCCTCCTTCTGACGCTGTGAGAAGACAATTTGGTGTGACTACTCCTTTGTTGTTCCAATAACCGTTCGAAACTTAAGCACGGCCACACTTTGGAATGCACAGTTTTGTTATGCTTGATCACTTCGAAAGAGGCACGAATATCTTAGGCCAAATACAGAGACGGGCAACGAAGTTGGTCATAGGGCTAAAAGATAAGTCTTAGGAGGACAAACTCCAGAATCTGAGATTTTTCTCGTTGCGCTACAGGACAACAAGTGATGATCTGACAGTGGCATACAAAAAATCGAGTTCACCGACCCGACACGACAAACGGCACTTTACCAGATCATTCAGAGAACGCTTCTCGCAAGCGTGCGCAACAGATGCGTACAGCCTAGCATGCTCTCGCTTTTTCTCATCAAGAGTTTACCCCACCTGGAATGCTTTCCCAGACAAAGTGATCACAGCCTTTATCAGTGGATAGCTCTTAAAATAGACTTGATATACATGTAGTCATCAGTGGATTATCATCTGACGCTGATCTAATTAATCCCCACGGTTATCATTAACGCATATCAGTAACTTCTTCCGTTGTCTCCATTTATTACGGTCGATTTCAGTCTAATTCCTTCTATTCCGTCTTATCACACACCAATTACTTAGCCTGTTTGTTATTCTGGAAATAATGATCTTCTCTCATAACTCGAATTATCACCATTATTTTCTGATTGCAACCAAACAAACCTCTGCCTATTAATGTGATAGCGTCTGGAGGATGGAAGCCCAACTGTTTTAAGACAAGCGCACTCATACGAGCAAAACGATATGCAAATCTACAAGTAAGTACCAAAACGACTAGAATTAGTGCAATTGAGTGGCTAAACTGCCACTGGTTGGAATTTATGGAATAGATGGAATCGTACCAAAACAACAAAAACCAACTCAAAGAAAGCAAATAGCTTATACAAACTGGTGACAAAAATATTAGATATACTGAGCACTGGATTTGTTTAGATTTTGTTTAATTATTCCAATATCTTATGTGTTGGTATGATAAAACTCTCAGCTCATTGAAATAGTCTAATTTACGACTTGAAATTTATTGACTTTGTGAATCAATACATCTGACTGTCACCAGTAAAAAATTAAGAAAATCGTCTAATAAGGTTAGTGATCACCCTTAAAAGGAATTACAGGCATCCGTTCAAATATTATTATTTGATCGAATTCGATCAAGTTATATATATATATATATATATATAACACATTAGATCAATCTCTGTAGAGGTAGATATCTACCTCAGATTGCACACTGGATATCCAATGTGCAATCTGAATTATCAGGTTGCTTTCTTGAATAGTGTTCTATGACCCTCTCCATTGCAGATGTTTCGTAATTAGAGGCTATTTAGAGGTTGTATGCGTGCTTACTCAGTTACCTACTTGCGTTTCTTATTGTTCTTTTCTCTTCTAGGTATCCTAGTTTGCTTGGTTTATGTTACGATCTTTAACCAACAAAATATCTTCAGAACAAATATCAGTCTATAAACGATCTAAAGCCTGTTAGTAGTATAACAGCAATCGAAACGTCAGTTTATAATTTCTAAATCATTTATTTATAAAAATGAGTGTTCCGTAAGTTTTATCATACAATAATTCTTTTCCAGTTCTATTCGGTTTAAGTGTACTATGAACAATACGATTCTTGATGTCCTAAGAAACCGTGGGTGGATTGAGGTTTGCAGGTAATCCAATAATTACTAAGTATGAATAAAAAATATCCATCTTACCAATGTAAATTGTCGAATGCATGAGCTTGACTCTTATGAATCTTTCTTTGCTTTCGACAAACGCTCTTAAATGGAAAAAACTATCCGATTTCATACCATTTGGTGGTTTAGTCCATTACAGCATACTATATCGACTTGAAATACTGAACATTCACCAAATTAGTCGATGTACTCTCTATATATACAATGTTCTCATGAATCATCACATTACTTCTCGACTTTACTGAATGGTTTCGTCAGTATAATACTTTTTATATTTCGGTCTTCATTGGTAAAAATATGAGATAAAGTCATCTCTAAGCAAACTGTATTAATCTTTTCTATTTGCAGTGCAGCGAAGATTTACCCTCGTTTTGAATATAGTGACAAAAGATGGTGGTATTACTTTTCGTAGAAGACAATTTCACTCTTTATTGAGAAAAACAAGACTCTAGATGTAGACTATTTGCTCTCGATTTTCGCACTATCTGAGAGTGTCTTCTTAGATAATCAGTCCTAGATACAATGAGAAAATCGATAACCCTTTAGTCTATGATAAGCCACTATTAGATCACCTTGTATCTTGTATTCCTTGCTGATAAGCGACTATTGAACTGTAATAATTAGTGAAATCTCTGGTATTATACAAGTAAAAATATTATATGAGTTGTGTAAACGATCACCTGGATTAATGAGCCTCTATGATAACTGATTATGAATCTGGATTTCTTGTTTAGATTCAGATGTTCAATAATTATCAGAGGACAGGAATAGATAATTTGACGAGGTAAATCTTTACACTTTTTTATAAAGTTTTTAACACAAACCAAGCTTAAATGAACTTTTTCAAACGTAAATGACTGCTCTATATGATTTTTGTAGTTCAATTATAAAGTGGGAAAATAAAACTTAATTACCGGACTTAGTTAACGCTTCTCATGTTGTTTGGCTGATTACACTTTACGTGTGAGCTACATAATTTTATGATTGAGTCACAAATAAATAAGTACATGTTAATGGTAAACATATATTACAGTAATATTATCCCAGTGACTATCTTTTTCCACTTACGATAAAACGAAGTTTTGATTTCACTCAGAAAATATCTTCGAGAGAATATAAGTGTATTTTTTTGTACATCACAAATGGAAATTTTTTCTAAGTGGCTATTGTATCTATTTTTTTGCATTTTACAGAGAAGAAGAATGTGATTTCTTTTGGTGTGATCCCATGACAATGAAAGAGTTATTTGATCACGGATTAATGGGCAATATAACGAAGATTTGTCATTTTCGAAATCACTTTGAGGTATGTTGTAGTAAAATATATGCAATTTGACTTCGTGTACGTGTAGTAATATTTCAATAAGGACTTGGTGATTTCACACATGATACTGAACAATGTTTGCTCATTCTAGATGACTACTGAAGAATTTAGAACTCTGAAGCTATTTCGCTCACTAATGTTGTTTGTACTTTTATCACATTATTACTGAGTAATTGTACCACTGTATTTTTATATCCTATTTATTATAAGCTTCCGTTTGATCCATATCAATCATTACTGTACGGCTTGCTCTTAAATTACTCTTTATCAATTTTTTACAGTTTGCCCGGTTCATATCTACTCTTGATTAAACAGACAATAATCCATAGGACTGTTTTAGTTAACATAATCAATGTAGTATATAGCTAGTCTTTGTCAACCATGAATACTTATAAACCATATTCCTAGGAACAGATAAAGTTGGCGATATAAGGATCATTGTATTTCCATTAATATCTTACTGTTATTCAAAATTTAATCATCATGTGTGTGATTGTACTCATATCTCTTGTCTATTGTCAAGCTGTAATTCATTTATAAGTGTTTTATTCTTCCCGTTGTTGATGTGAAAGATCGCGACTGACCGGTCTTTTTGGCACGTATGCATCCTGAACAGATTGCTTCAATGTAACCATAAAGCACAGAAGTTTCCAATTAAAGTCAGTCAGTCAGTCAGTAACGACGTAGAACTTCGTACGTACGTACATCAGTTTGAGTTGCCATACCATATTAGCACAGAGATGCAGTGGTCGATTCAAATCCCGTAGTGCTAGATGTAATAAAATTATAAGCTGTAATCAGAAAAATTAAGGTTTGAAGATGTTATTCAAGGAGTATAATCCAGTGAAATAAGTTTGGAAAGAGAAAAAAGAAAGGGACATGAAGAATTCAGAAGATTAGAATTTGGGAGAACACAAATAGTGGATGCACCTGCGCACACCATTGCAAACGATTTTGAACCATGTCATTCAGGGTCTCTAACCATCAGTTGCTATCATCTCGCGGTCCCCAACCAGGTAGTCTACACCTACCAACATGACTCAGTCCACTTGTCAGTGACTTCATGGACTTGTGCCATGTTTTGGTCTGGCAGCCCCTACCTTTCTTCCAACCTACTCCTATACAACAAAACATCGTACATCGAGGCAGTCGGTGGTTGTGCATAAGTAACCCATGTCCCAGCCATCTCAACTGATGAAGTTTCACTACTTCATCAATTGATTTGCCATCCTTACGTGGTACCCGTTTCCTAACAACTGCATTACTTACTCGATGGTCCCATGATATACGAGCAATATTTCGAAGACACCTATGATCAAATACTAGTAACCTACGAATATCCTCTACTCTTACTGCCCATGTTTCACTGCCATTAAATAGGACAGAGAGTACTGCTGCGCAGTAAACACATTCTTTGTTTGATAGACGGATATCTCACCTACGCCATAAATGACGCAAGTTGGCAAAAGCTAGTCGAGCCTTCTGTCTCCGTGCTGAGATTTCGTCACACACTAGAACACAAGGGCTGATGAGACTTCCAAGATAAGTGAAGCGATCGACACGTTCAATTACTTCACTCCCTCCCTATCATTAGTTTGGCCGTCGGTGCAACTCAATCCTGAAGCAACATTTTGCATTTCGAGGGAGAGAATTGCATCCCGAACATGCTTGCATTGCTGCTTAGAATGGTTAGAAGACTGCATTTTGTCAGCGTCTTCACCAAATAAAACTATGTCATCAGCATATTCTAAGTCAATAAGTGAACCTCCCGGTAGAAGTTCAACCCCTGGAAATTTAGATGAGGAGAGTGTTATCTCTAAAAGTACGTCGACGACAAAGTTAAACAAGAATGGAGAGAGTGGACAGCCCTGACGAACACCACTTGAGGTAATCAATTCTGATGACAGTTCGCCATAAGCTCTCACTCTATCAGTTGTTTTCGAGTAGACAGCCTTTATAAGGTTAATGTACTTCTTTGGTACTCTTTTCAGTGACAAACACTGCCATAGAACCTTATGATCGACGGAGTCGAATGTCGCCTTAAGGTCGAGAAATACTACCATTGTGGGGCGTCTGAATGTGTGTCTGTGTTCTAGAACCTGACGTAGTGTGAATATCTGATCTATACAACCACGTCCATGTCGAAAACCGGCCTGGTTTTCTCTAATCTGCTCTTCACGAGCTTTGATTAGGCGTCGAAGTATTATTGAAGCTAATATTTTAGACACTATATTAGTCAAACTGATTCCTCTGTGATTGTCACAGGAGGACTTTTGTCCTTTCTTATAGACTGGCACAATCAGTGATTGAGACCAGTCAGATGGGATTACGTCCAGTTCCCAAATTCTACCTAAGACCTCGGTTAATCTCATTGCTAATACTGGACCACCATCCTTAAAAATCTCAGGAGTAAACCTGTCAGGGCCTGCTGCTCTCCCTCGTTTCAGATTTCCTATGGCTTTTTCAACTTCGTAAATGGACGGAGGACCTAAATTAACTTGCCATTCAGGTTGACTAGAGATCGTGGGAAACCGAAGTGTGGCTGAAGGCCAGTTGAACTGATCCCTAAAGTGTTCTGCCAATCGATCCAATCTCCTGGATTGAGAATGAATAATATGTCCATCTTTCTCTGAGATTGTTTCGCTAACGGTCGGGTTCCTAATTCCGGTTTCCTTAACGAGTCTAAACAATTGTCTGCTATTACCTATTGCCGCTGCCTTTTCCATCTCTCTTGCTTTCGCTACCCACCACTGTTCACGATCATTGCGTAGACTTCTTGCCAGATTGTGCTTAAGCTGACTCCGCTCTTCATTATGTTCAGAGCCAGGTGGAATGAGTGCGATAGATGCTGCTGAGATCCAGTGTTTCTCCCTAACCTTGTGGTTTACCTTACTAGCAGATATCATTGCTGTTTCCACAGCTTTTCGGATATCATTCCATGCTGCCTCTAGGTGGGCATCACATATATGGCTGCCTAACTGTTTTTCTAATTGTTTCTGAAATATACTCTTAGCTTGACTATCATTAATTAGGCCCCTAAGAGGTTTCCTTGCAGCGTCGTTCCTACGTCCAGCAAGACTCAGGCAAATACGCGCTCGTACTAGAGCATAATCTGAATCTAAGCATGTGCTCCAGAATGAGTGACAGTCTTCTGTCGAGCCCCTCTATCGGTGGCTGATAGCGATGTGATCTATTTGGGTCCAACGTTGGGACGAATTAGGGGGTCGCCATGTTAAAAGATGTTTTTCCTTATGCTTAAAGTTAGTATTTGCAAGGAACAGGCGGTTATCTGAGCATAGCTTCAACAGACAGTCGCCATTATCTGTTCTTTGAGCCACGATGCTATAAGATCCACCTAGGTGTCTTTCCCTATAGCTTAGTTTACTTAATTGAGCATTAAAGTCACCGGCCACTATTACTACATCCGAGCGCTTAGCTTTTCGGAGAAGGTCCGAAAGCTTTCTGTAAAACTCATCTTTTACATCATCTGAGCTGCAGTCAGTGGGAGAATAGGCAGAGAGGCAACGACGAGTGTCCCTATCTTTTCGAATCCTTACTGTTCCGTTCAGTCGGACAGCGCACAAACGACTGTCTACTGGGATCCACTCTAAGAGAGCTAGTTCTGCCCTAGGACTCAATGTTATGCCTACGCCGGCGAGGCCATGGAAAGCAGAATCAGGGCTTCCAGATACACGAAGTGTGAATCGAGTCGGTTCTTTATTTTGGCATGGTGAGGTCAAATGAATGACGCTACTCGGATCTTGTATGTGTGTTTCGGAGACGCAGCACACATCGATGGCGCGGGATTCTAAAGTCCTAGCTAAGGAAGCCTGCTGTCCTATTTGGCACAGTGACTAGCAGCAAAATCCAGAACATGCGATTTATTATAGTTAGCATTCATCACTTGAACGTACCTTCATCTCAGTGTTAGTGTTCACGTCAAAACGAGGACCAAGTACCTTCCGCTTCAAACGCTGACGCGTTAGCCAGTTAATTATTAAGTGCAGAATTAGTCACAAAAGATAAATACAAAATAAATGACTTATTTATTTTTGATATGGTTATCTTGCTTCATATACAATGCAAGAATTTACAGATGTACAAAGCTTTATCTCGCAAGTTCATCACATCATTTTCCACACAAACTCTCGGATACAAAATCTGTAGATTATGGTTCCTTGTTATTTTAAGATTAACTTTAATTTATTAAGCAGTGTCAGGGTAATTCATGATATTGATAATTAGTGATTATTCTTTGACAAAAGGATGCCTATGGCCTCGATTTCTCATCTCAATTAAGATATGTTTACGTGTCTTTTTGTTGTTTTACATAATGACTCAAAGTTTAGTAGCATGAGTGATTTCACCGTAAATAAAGGCATACATTTACGACCCAACTGGGGACCAAACTTAAGAGTTTCAGGTCTCACAGCGAGTGCTCAACATTTAGGCCATTTAGCGCGGATCCAATAGTTTACATTTCTAAACTTCAGCCAGTTCTTCATATTGAGCAACAATTTTCCCATACCATTAGTGAGTGAATGATACATCAGTGCTTTTTTAGTTTTCAACGGTTGTCTAAGTAAGTTCAATCCATGATGTTGACTGTTTAAATTAACAATCTTCACAAATCCTTGTAATAAAAATAACAATTTTCTAGGAAATATTTCTGTTTAAGATCTATTAATGCCGTATTTCCTGTATTACATTCGCATAGTGGAATATTTGTCCTCGTTCATTTAAAAGCAATTACAGAATAATCAATTATCATACAACTAACATAACTTCATTCACTTGGTATTATTTTACTTGATTCTACACAGTGATGTTTAGGACTGCAATTGATCAGTCTCTTATTGACATATGTGCATCCAGTGCATATTGCCTTCATTTACACGCATTATAACCAAGGACGGATAGTGATTAGCAGTGAAATTCAGGATGCGCATTTCGTCCCATTCGGGACTCATCAGCTGGGTGTACCTGCATCTCACCCCATTGCACAAGCAAATAGCTATTACGACTCAATAGTTAAGTGGATAACACGATGGTAATTGAAGTGAACGGTAGTGGGTTCAAGTCCCAAAGTGAACATCAACTCTGAGATTTAAAAATATTCAGTTGACAAGTCACAAATAAAACGAATTGTCGTGCATCCTGGGTTCCATTGCTAGCCACTATTCATCCTTAACATTAACTTAATTGGTAAAATGTATTTTGTTAAAGTAGAAACATAAGAACTAAAGCTCAAGTAGATCTTATCTAGTGATTAGTTCACGTAAATATCTCTGATTTTATAGGAACGTAATCTTTTCATAAATAACATGATCATTTATTTCACCGATTGAAGTCACGAGTCAGTTGAAGCTAGACCACCATCAGTAGTGCGCATTCACGATCCCTCACCCCTGCGAGATTCGAACCCAGGACCTATCGGTCTCGCACCAGGCGCTTAACCAACTGGACCACTGAGCCGGCATCCAACGGTGTTAATGTCTAACTTCAACCAATCCACGAAGTTGCGCCACCGTGGCGCAATTCCAATATTCAGTTATATGTGTCTCACTGCAATGACGATTATACAGTTTGTGTTACTATCTTGAAAAACCAAAACCGATGGTTTGGCCATGTTTTATGAAAGTCGCTCCAGTTAACTCAACACTGAGCATTATTTTCCGATGCTAGGGCGGAGTGAGAATAGCGGCAACGGTATCAGTTTGTAAATTACTCCATGTCATGAGAGACAGCTTCATAGGAACGGTACCTATCAGTGAACGATCCCTCTAAGTATCATTGAGCCAGCCATCTAACGGTATTAATGTTTGACCACAATCAATCCACGATATTGTGCACCGCTGAGGAGTCACATACTAGGACGAAACAACAGTCCAGTACTTCCAAATTTTTCATGATCATCTAGCTTCAAGGGACTCATGATTTCAACCAGTGAAATTTCTAAAAAATCTCCACAAAACCCCCTTTTGATCATTTATTGTATAGATTAATTCTTGGGAGATACCTTAGTTACTAAATGTTAATAATTTCGCATAGTGATAAGTACACAGATTACTTTCAGTGTTGTTTTTTTTAAATTTTAATCTTTAATATCATTTGAATACTATAAAGAAAACTTTCATTTCATTTCATTTTTTATCTTATTAGCTTACTCGTAAAAATTTAATGGTGAAAAATTTGAAACGTTTAAAACGTAAATGGGAAAAAGAATACAATAAACAAGAAAGTCAAATGTAATAGATTCATTTATATGATAAATGAAATTTATTTGTTCCTTTATAGATTGGATTTTTTCCCAACCACATTTGAACTTCCAGTAAGATTTTATCATAATATATCTCTAGTCAATAATTTATTTTTTTTATTTTTTAAGATGGAATATCATATGTTTATTGAAGAATTTCGTAAATATCCTGGTTCTATATGGATTATGAAACCGATTGCTAAATCCCAAGGCAAAGGAATATTTCTATTTCGTAAATTAAAAGATATTGAAGCATGGAAACGTACTGGAATGGTACATTTTTTTGTTTTTGTTGTTGCTGCTGCTGCTGTTGTTGCTGTTGTTGTTGTTGTTGCTGTTGTTGTTACTGTTGTTGTTGTTGCTGTTGTTGTTGCTGCTGCTGCTGTTGTTGTTGCTGTTGTTGCTGTTGTTGTTGCTGTTGTTGTTGTTGTTGCTGTTGTTGCTGTTGTTGTTGTTGTTGCTGTTGTTGTTGCTGTTGTTGTTGTTGTTGCTGTTGTTGTTGCTGTTGTTGTTGCTGTTGTTGTTGTTGCTGTTGTTGTTGTTGCTGTTGTTGTTGCTGTTGTTGTTGCTGTTGTTGTTGTTGCTGTTGTTGTTGTTGCTGTTGTTGTTGCTGTTGTTGTTGTTGCTGTTGTTGTTGTTGTTGCTGTTGTTGCTGTTGTTGTAAAAATCCTATTTACTTTTTTTTTTCAAATGTTCCATAGAAATTTGAACAACAAACTGTTGGTGATATACAAAATCGTGAACTACCTGAAACTTATGTTGTTTCAAGATATATCACTAATCCATATTTATTATGTGGACGTAAATTTGATTTACGTGTTTATGTTCTTGTTACATCGGTAAGTGATTTTCATGTATCATTAATGGAATTGGATGTTTGTTTTTCTTTCAAAAAATAGTTCAATCCATTGAAGGTTTGGGTTTATAGAGATGGATTTGCTCGTTTTTCCAATACAAGATTTTCATTAGATTCTATTGATGATCAATGTATCCTTTTGAATTGATTCTATATTATGTAACTATTATAGTATTTTCAAAAAGGGGTTTTGTGGAGAGTTTTAGAAATTTCAATAGTTGATATCGTGAGTCAACTGAAGCTAGATAATCATGGAAAACTTGGAAGCATTAGACGGCCTTTTCATCCTATTATTGGACTCCTTAGCAGTGCGCATCCGCGATCCTGAGACACAGGATCTATCAGTCTCGTGCGCGAGCGCTTAACTATTAGACCACTGAGCTAGTGGTCTAGCTTCAATTGACTCATGATTTCAACTATTGAAATTTTTAAAAATCTCCACTAAACCCTTTCTGATAATAATCATCTACTCACTAGTGACTGACTTCAAGAGGAATTTCCTGAAATTTTAGAGAGAAGCCTTGACCAGTAGCGTTCAATCAGGTCTGTTGTGAGATATCAACTCACTGAAGACAATGGTGTACGGTGGTGCAATTTCGTAGATTGGTTGAAGCTAGACATTAACACCGTTAAATGACGGCCGGCTCAGTGGTCTAATGGTTAAGCCCTCGCGCGCGAGACTGATAAGTCCTAGGTTTGAATCGCGCGGGGGGCGGGATCGTGGGTTCCCACTGATGAGGAGTCCCATACTAGGACGAAACGGCCGTCCAATGCTTTCAACTTTTCTATGGATGTCTAGCTTCAATTGACTCATGATTTTAACTATTATAGTATTTATTTCTAATTGTTCTCGTCATATATAGACAGTATAGGGGAAGGATATGATGTTCAGATGTGTTGGGTTGTTTAAGAAAAGCTGTATTTGATTAATCAGAAACTGAAACCATGATCATAAAGTGTTTACCAACAGTCTCTTACTCTTATTAACATCGTATTAGTAAATCTATTGCGAAATCTAATTTTTATGCCTAGGAATCTTCTAAACAATTCCATAGACTGTTGCGTGTAGAGTCCTAGCTTCACTATAATCAAAATAGATAAGTTATATATTTACAGCCTACAAAACAAACACATACAATTAATGGGAAATTTCCCACCGTCAGTGCCCCCCAATGCCCTGTTATGGCCGAGAGTGGGGAGAGCCCGTCCTTCATCTCGAAATGCTCTCACATGACCACGCGTATACAACCACTGCCAGGACGTCCTACTCACTGCCTTCTCGTGGCGGAGGTGTTGTTTACGAAAATTAGATGGCGAAAAGCGAATGTCCGGTGCTTTAACCCGACCCCAAACCAATGTTGCTCATGGGCTCCAGTATCCTGCGGGAACAAGTGGCGTATGAACCAATCATTGGTCACTGGATACCATGGGACTGCATCTCCTCACGGTTCTCCACTGCCTTGTGGGTCAGACCTTTGGGTCAAAGGCTCGGGGTATGGCCGCCTATGAAAACCAGCTGCTTCGGTTTGGGCACCCGAGCAGTATCACAGCCCACACACAAGTAAAATGAAAAGGACGATATTTACTAAAAATTCTATTCACGCTTCGATTAACAGTCAAACAATTCACATTACTATTATTATTATTATTTTCTACGTCATTTATTCACTCCCTTCTATTCCCGATTTCCGTATCCTTATTTTTCGACTTATACAGCAGCTAGCTTATGGTGGAAATTCGGCTCTTTTTAAACGTTCTTGGGTCACTGCCTGGTTGAAAATTGTATGCTACCAACAAATACAAATACTGAAGCGGTTTTTCTGAAACCACGTGCGCCATTCAAACTGGCTGCCTTCAACGTTCGCACACTTATACAGGTCGGACAACAGACAGGGCTGGCTATGTTTTTGAAAAGTCTTAATATCGACGTTTGTTGTCTATCTGATACACGTTTTCAAGACTATGGTGATGTACTACAAATTCGCTTTCCATCTGTCGCTTCAAAAAGCTTGTTTTACGTCTGTCTGTCCGGGGAACCTGTGGCATCTTCGTCTGGTCTTGCTGGCGTTGGTGTCGAACTAAGCACTAGAGCTGAAGCAGCACTGATCGATTGGATCCCCATTAACAGTCGCTTATGTGCTGCTAGATTAGAAAGCCCCATCAAACTGAGAAGAAATCAGCCTGAGAAAGATGTCTTTTCGTCATCTCCGCCTATGCCTCGACAGATTGCAGCCCGGATGCAATCAAGGATGAGTTTTACCACCAGTTATCTGTTCTTCTCAAAAAAGCGTTCGACAGACATTGTAGTACTAACCGGAGCCTAGAATGCTCAGGTCGTGCATCTAGGCACATAAGAGAGTCGTTTAGGTGGCCGATGGTGGCTTGTTGGTCGCAGGACAGATAACGGGGACCGTCTACTGTAACTGTGCACAGACCACAACCTGTTTCTTGCTAGCACTAATTTTCGGCACAGTCATCGCCGATGTGCCACCTGAAGTCCTTCCTCTGCATCTCAAGCCTAGACTCAGATTGATCACATCGCGATCAGCTACCGCTGGCGTGGTTGTGTACAAGACTTCCGCTTATTTTGGAGTGCCAATATGGGCTCTGATCATGCCCTGGTTTGCGCCAATCTTGTTTACAAAGGTCTGAGAACTAGAGAGTGTACTGACGTTATAGAATGAGTCGTTCCTGTAACAACTATCGGGGGAAAAGTCTACTTTCGATTGCGTCCAAACTGTTTGTTTCCGTCATACTCCGTAGGTTGTTCAAAACCTGAGAAAGATTGACTCGCGATGAGGAAGCTGGGTTTCGTTCTGGTTGAGGATCTATTGATCATATCTTCACCCTCCGTCAAATGTTAGAACACCGTCATACTTAACAAAGGCCATCAGTCGTAGTGTTTCTTGACATTAGGGTTGCCTTCGATTCGTTGGACAGGACTGTTCTCTGAGATTGTCTATTGAAGAAGGGTATGCTTGAGAAGTTTATTGACATCCTAAAGGCCCTATATACGAACACTTTGGGTAGATTGAGGGCATACATCCACCTTCCTCCATTGTTCCACTCGAGTAGTGAGGTTAGGCAGGGTTGTCCAAGCTCACCATTCCTCTTCAACTTTGCCATCGATGACATTCTGGAAACAGTTCTGATGGATGAAAGTAATGGCGGTGTGGATCTGTTGCCTGGAGAAAGACACAGTGGCTAGAGACGTTATCAGATATGGCTTAGAATAGAAGCCAGTGGTGATCCTGCTGTAATCTTCTTTCAGTTTCTTCGTAAAAAGTGGTTGTATCTTCCTTAACTGAGATATCTCTTCTGATTGTACCTTTCCGTTTCCCCCATTATTATTATTATTATTATTATTATTATTATTATTATTATTATTACACTACTCTTGTCGTTATTGTTTTTCTTTTTTTTCTTTTACGCTCCTTACCTTCCTTTTTTATCTTCCCATTCTGATTGTTCTGTGTGGCGCATATATATTTGGTGCTCCCTTGTACCAATATCTATGTATTCAAATAAATAAATTAACATACAATTAGTACAAAGCATGAAATAAAAGTCAATTACGAAAAAGGATCATGAAGTGAATATATTTACCAAATATTAGCATGGATACAGCAAAAACGAAGCGATGAAAGAGGTAGTCATTTATCTGAAAAAAGGTACAGTTCAATGACTGATAGTCAGAAAAAGATTTAGCCGTTCAAGATCAGATTGTGTGTAAGTGGTTAGTGCTTCACAAAGATGTAATTGATTGATTCAAACGTGGCATCACTCCTTGAAGTCACTAACTTCTGGTCTGAGCCATGTTGGTGGATACAAACTACTTGGTTGGGGTCCACCTGACTATCATAACCAATAGTTGGAGACTCATGTTGACATGGATCAGAATCAATCACAATGGCGTCGATGTATACACTCTCTGTCTTCCCTTAAACTATGAAGTAAAATCGCTTCATATCTTCCTTTCTACTAACTAATTCTTTCTTCTTGTACTATACCCTTACATGTAAAATCTTTCTTTATTATATTACCACCATTGAATTAACTACTTCTATGAATCCGATGTTCATCTTGCTGTGCCAATGCGGTATGGCAACTTGGACCGATGCATATATGTGCCTGGTTCTACGTTGTAGTTGATTGACTGAATTGATTGATTCATTCTTATAGATCAGGAATAACACTTATTTCATACATAAAAGTGTTGAGTGGTAATAAGAAATGTTATTTATCAAAGTTTAAAGCCGAAGGGCTTACCTCTAATTGATATCTACTAATTTACTTATCTTGCTTACTTATGCCTGTTACCTCTCTTGGAGGAGCATAGGCCACTCACCAGGATTCCCCACCCAACTATCTCCTTGTTATAACATGTGAATGCAAATTAAATAGCAGCGTATTATCGAACGGACCAAAGACGCGTAAACACGTAAGAATGGCCCAGAGTTCTGATTGGTCCTGCTTCCCTGTCTAGCCCAGCCAGTTGAGTCCAGAACGCAAGTCTCAGCCTCTGAGATATGAATCGTTATATTTCAAGCATATTCTGTTTATACACCAATCAGGCAGACCACACCGCACCACAAAACAGAAAATAACATTTGACACGTGAAATAAGTATTGACCAGTAGGGAAACGATCAATAGGAAAATGACACAATTTAAGGGTAACATTAGACTTAACCGGATAATTGTTTTTGGAATATTTTTCTGAATATCCTAACACCTCCCTTTGGAAAAGTTAATAGCGAGGGTTTACTTGAAGTTTCTTTGGGTGTCTTCTTTTGCGATCCGACCTCCGAAGCAACCACACAGAACCAGAAGGATGTTCCACTTGAGTAGATGACTTAGTTGTCTCTGTTGGAGGTATTAGCGTAAGTTGAAACGTGTCCAACAGCAAGTCGAGTGGGACGCGTTTTGTAATTGCTTCTTTCTCCTTCGCTTCCCGTGGCCTGACTTGATTGTGGTGCCTGGTCCAGATTTCTTGGTTCACTTTGATATCATACATGACCACCCCATGTTTTTTTTGTGATTTCACCCTCTATCCATCTATCGCATCCGTGTCTATAATCTCGCGCATACACTTTTGTACCAACTTCGTAGGGAATTCGAGTATTCTTCATCTGAGGGCTTTGATGGGCCACTTACGTGGGTTTCATCGCACCATGAACCGTCCTTTCCAGTTGCTATTCATTCTTTTGATATCTGCTTCCGATTCACGGTTCGGTGTGTTCTTTTGTCCTCCTCTTTTTCGTTTCTCTTAAGGATTCTAAGCTAGAGCTTTTCTCGTGATGCAGTTTGATGATTTCCTCAATGTATTTCCTATCCATTTACATCGTCTTCTCTTAATTTCCTCTTTCGTTGGAAGTTGGTTTGTTCACTTTCACAGTAGCCTGTTGCTGATGGTATCCTGTCAAAGTACACTGAGTATCTTTCGCAGACAATTGTTCATAAATACTTTTACCTTTTTGATTATGGTTGTGGTATTTCTCGAAATTTCAACCCCGTACAATAGAACTATCTTGACGCTTGTTTTGGAGATTCGTACTTTGATATTAGTCGATAGTTGTTTTGAGTTCCAACCGTAAAAATGAGGACCTCGCTTTGCAAATCTTTACGTTTACGTCTCCATCAGATACTCAGTGTTCGTTGATGATGCTGTCCAGGTACGTGATAGATTCCACTTGTTCCAGAGTTTCTCTATCGAATGTGATTGGGTTAGTGTTTCTTGTGTTGTATTTGAGGATCTTGCATCTTCCTTTGTGTATGTTGAGGCCTATTGATATCGAGGCTGCTGCTACACTGACTGTTTTCACTTGCGTTTGTTGATGTGTATGGGTTGAAGGGCTATGTGATCTTGAAAGTGCAAATCGTCTAGGTACATGCAAGATTCCAATTGCATTCCGTGCTTCCCCTGCGATGTGGAGGTCTTGATAATCCAGTCAACCCCCAGAAGATAGAAAAAAGGGGGGATTAAGTAGTATTGTCCAACTCCGGTTCTTGCAATGCATTTGCCAGCTGTCCTCCATACACGACTTTGCAGTTTAGCCCATCATACGAATTCCGTATGATGTCGACGATCTGTTCATATAAACCAGTGTCGAAGAAGGTCCCATAAGGTTCTCCTATCCACACTATCAAACGCTTTCTTATAATCAAGGAATTTGATGAATAGTGAGAAATTCCATTCACTTGGCTGTTCAACAATCATCCATAATGTCGCGATTGGGTCTGGGTACGATCGATCCTTAGGGAATCCGATCCGTCTACTGAATCTTTCATCCAGTTCGGCAACACTGTTTAAAACTTTTCCTGGTATCGATAGAAGTGTGGTGTCACTGTAGTTCTCACATTTGCCCAGATCTCATTTTTTGTTGGTTTCTTGATGGATTATCCCTATTTCCATTCTACTGGTACTGATTCTTCCTTCTAAATCTTTTTGAATTGAACGTGAATATCTTTGTAGATGCCTCTATATTTGTATTCAGTCCTTCAACTGATATGTTGTTTGTTGCTGCTTTGTTATTTCTGATTTGTCTAATAGCCTTGAGAAGCAAAACCCGACTAACACATCCTCGTCGTGCCTCCTGGATAGTGGGCTTCAGTCCCATGAACTAACTTGAGCGATAATACGGGTGATATAGATCGAGCTAATCACCCACTCGACCTATACCCACAAAGAATCACATCACAATTACTCCTGGATCGATAAACGACAAAAAAATTCACAGAAGTTGTGCATGGAATGTAAAGGTTTGCTCCCTACGGGGCAAAATCCAACCGATTGCAAAAGTATATATTCTAGTCCCGGTAGTTCTGCCGTGCTTCGATGTGGCCTGTATCTTTCCAGAAGGGTCTACTAGGCTTCACCAACTTGTTTGGCTAGAAAGAACACAACCAATAGCCTTGTTGGTTCTTTTAATATCTTTAGTGAAGTAACATTTATAAGGATATCTATGTGTTCTATGGTACTCTAATGATGCCATTTGTATTGTTAGGAGATTTTACTTAATCTACAGTTATAAAATGAATTATTTGAATGTACCACTGAAGATTAAAACTTTTCATGGTGGAATTCATGTTTTCTTGTATAAACTTAACATTATATACTTTATTATAGATATACATTTGACAAATATTGCTGTACAAAAGACTGCACCTGATTATGATGCTGAAAAAGGTTGTAAATGGTCTATTGGTCGTTTACGTCGACATCTTTTATCTATATATGGCTATAAAAAAGTAAGTGTAGTTAAGATAGATTATATTTCAGTTATTTGGTTCTGATGTAAACGATAGTAAAATGTAGTTTCGGTAACTACTTCATAATCAGAGAGGGGTTTTGTGAATATTGCAGTAATTTCAATGGTTGTGTTCATGAGTCAATTGAAGCTGGACCATCATGGAAAACCTGGAAGCATTGAACGGTCGTTTCGTCCTAGTATGGAACTCCTCAGTAGTGCGCTTCCATGATCTGTGGATTGGTTGAAGATAGACATTAACACCGCCGGATGCCGGCCCAGTGGTTTAGAGACCGGTAGGTTCTAGTTTCAAATCTCGCTAGGCAAGATTGTGGATGCGCACTGCTGAGAAGTTCCATACAAGGACGAAACAGCCGTCCAGTGCTTCTAGATTTTCCATGGTAGTCAAGCTTTAAATGACTCATAAATTTAACGATTAAATAGCTATTTCACAGTTCTATGGAATGTTTTTAAATCTCGATTGATATTTTCCGTCATAGTTTTTTTTAAATTTCAATTGTTAAAATGTAAGACTTAACCCAAATAATTTTGACATTTTTCACTTGGGTTCCCTGATTTGTTCTAGTGTTTTTGTTGTTTCATTCATACTACATTATTATTAGCCTTTTTTATCCGAATTGGTCGAAGGATGTGTAGAGATTCGTTTAACTTTGTGGTGGTATTCACTGCCGACTGACACCAAATGATGTACCACCACAATCAAGGAGCACTAGACTGTTGTTTTAACTTAATAGGGAACTACTTTTGTGATAACCCGTTAAATGTTATCAATAGAGTTCTACTGTTTGGGTCGGAATCCTGGAGAACCACTAAAATCGTCATCCAGAAGATACAAGTGTTTATTCACAGTTGTCTACGCAAAATATTTCGGATCCGTTAGCCAGACACTATCAGCAACAAACGACTGTGGAAGAGAACTGGTGTTAGTAATTAAGGAACTATTTGACAGCGTTCGTACACGAACTCAAGAGAGATCGAATACAGACACTCACTGCATTGATCTAAGCTGGTTTTGAAGTCAGAGATTTTCTTTTCTTAGAAATATACTACTAAAAACATTAAAACGACCATATTTTCAGAACTTTCCTGACAGTAGTTGTATGTACGTGGAAATGTGAGAGCATTTCGAATGGAAGAGCTGTTTCTCTTCACTCTTGACAGTACTAGAGCATTTGAGTGCTGTGAATTAGAAATAATAACTATTTTTTTAATGAATTAAAATGAACTATTCAACTTAATGATTCAAAGATTAAAACTTAGGTTTGTAGTGATTGTTGAGTTTTTTAATTCAGATTGTAAAGTGGCATCGAGTCGCAGTTGACTATGAACACCGCTACAAAGAAACACGTGCTAAGTAGATCAGAAGGCGTAGGTTGAACGTAACCAAATAAATCCATAAAATCCCCGAGAAGCCAAATATCAGAAGGCAATTAATGGACCAAATCGAGATATATTCGCTGGCGATCTCGTGGCATCGAAAGGATACCGAGATCGTGCCAGGATAGAAGCTTGGTTACAGAACGTAACCGAATTCGCGCGAAGTTATAATCAAAGTGTGAGTATAAGAATGGAGGCACAAAATAGCTGTCATTAGCACAGTCAAACAAAAGCACATTAAAACAAACACTGGTACAGTTGGTTATAATAATAATTGTTTTTATCAAACCAGTCGTGTTCTCGTGATAAATGTGAGTCACTACAAGATCATGAACTGATCAGTAAGAAGACCACCATTGAAAATCTAAAAGCACTGGATGATCATTTCGTAAAAGTATAGGGCTCATCATCAGTGCTCATCCATAATGCTACACATGATTATGACTAAAATTGAACTCTGGTATTGTAGTGAACAAGAACACAACAATTGAATGTATTTGAATATAAAATTACAGAACATCTTAGTATAATCTGAGCATCATACAGTAAATACTTCATTTGTAAAATGTTAATCAGTTGTCTCAGACTTGATTGATTCTTCTTTTCTATACCAATTATTCTCTGTTCTCGCTCGCTTTTCTTTGATCTTCTTAATCTTTTACTTTCGACTGATGATATATACTACTTATATCTGTCGACATCAGTAGCATACACCACACTCGTCTCACCTTTAAATCAGTCATCCTTGCTGTGGCTCTGCTCAAATATATATATGTGTGTGTATTTGTGTATTTTTATAGGTTGCCGAGTTATTTCATCAAGTGGATATAATATTTATTGGAAGTTTATTAAGTGTTCAAAAGATTATTATCAATGATAAACGTTGCTTTGAATTATATGGTTATGATATATTACTTGATGATAATTTACGACCATGGTTATTAGAAATTAATGCATGTCCATCATTGACAGCTTCATCTAAAGAAGATTATACATTAAAAGTAAGTGAATGTGAATTATATTCAGTCAGCTACAATGTAGAATGAAGCACATATATGTATCGGTCCAAGTTGGTACACCTCATTAGCACAACAATGTTATCACTAAATTCATAGCACCCATTACTTTAATGGTAGTAATATATAAAAGAAAGATTGCATATAAGGACATAGTACAGAAAGAAAGAATTAGTTAGTAGAAAGAAAGATATTAAGTGATTTTAATCTCAGGTTTTAAGGGAAGATAGAGAGTGTATACACTGACGCCATTGTGATCGATTTTGAGCCATGTCACCAAGAGTCTCCAACTATTGGTTACGATAGTCACACGGAGCTCAACCAAGTAGACTGCATCTATCAACATGGCTCAGACTAGGAGTTTGTGACTTCAAGGACTGAATTGTAGTAGAAACTTGAAATTTCAAAAATAACTCAATTTAACCAACAAGTGTAATTTACTAAGATATGCTGAATGTTTTCGGTAATATAGTAGACAAAGTTGCACATAAGATATTAAAGGACTCTTCTAAGATCTCAGATTTCCATATTTTACAATTCTTGTTGTAGCTTGATTAACTAGTTTGTTAACATAAATGACTTAATTCAATTTTTAGCACAACGATTACCCAGCTAAGCCTTGAGACTCGTGGATCATTCCCTGCCAATATTTATGGCGTAGGCGAGATATCCGTCTATCAACCAAAGGACGTGTTTACTGCGCAGCAGTACGCTCTGTCCTATTTAATGGCAGTGAAACATGGGCAGTAAGAGTAGAGGATATTCGTAGGTTACTAGTATTTGATCATAGGTGTCTTCGAAATATTGCTCGTATATCATGGGACCATCGAGTAAGTAATGCAGTTGTTAGGAAACGGGTACCACGTAAGGATGGCAAATCAATTGATGAAGTAGTGAAACTTCATCAGTTGAGATGGCTGGGACATGGGTTACTTATGCCCAACCACCGACTGCCTCGATGTACGATGTTTTGTTGTATAGGAGTAGGTTGGAAGGAAGGTAGGGGCTGCCAGACCAAAATGTGGCACAAGTCCATGAAGTCACTGACAAGTGGACTGAGTCATGTTGGTAGGTGTAGACTACCTGGTTGGAGACCGCGAGATGATAGCAACTGATGGTTAGAGACCCTGAATGACATGGCTCAAAATCGTTTGCAATGGTGTGCGCAGGTGCATCCACTATTTGTGTTCTCCCAAATTCTAATCTTCTGAATTCTTCATGTCCCTTTCTTTTTTCTCTTTCCGAACTTATTTCACTGGATAATACTCCTTGAATAACATTTTCAGACCCTAATGTTTCCGATTACTGCTTGTACTTTTACTACCTCTACCACTACGGGATTTGAATTGACCACTGCATCTCTGTGCTAATATGGTATGGCAACTCAAACTGATGTACGTAAGTACGAAGTTCCAGGTTGTTACTGACTGACTGCTAATATTTAGCCATCTGTCGTTGTAATTCAATAAAACACTAAGCTTCAGTCAACAGACAGAATACCAATAAGAAGCAAAATATCGGTCCTGTAGATTATCACATTTCAATTGACTCAGTGGTTGTATTACATAATAGTATCCTTATATAGTCAATGGTCTAAAGTTAAAGAATTTGCATCAATCTTCTAAATTGAATGAAACACTAAGTAAAGAGATGCTTCATCGAACCGATCAGCTTTATGGGATTTCCTTCTTCTATGCATACATTTTATTACAATTACAACCCATAGTATACTTGCTAATGACAATAAGTCATGATCAGTATGGGGGTTGTGGAGATTGTTAAGTTTTTGGTTGAGATCATGAATCAATTGATGTTAGACCACCGTTGGAAACCTGGAAGCACTGGACGGCCGTTTCGTTCTAGCATGGGACTCATCAGCAGTGCGCATCCATCCAGGTTTCCAACGGTGGTCTAACATCAATTGATTCATGATCTCAACCAAAAAAAAGTTATGAAACAATAAAATGGACGAATGTTAAATTTATTTTATTTCTATCCACAAACTGAATATAGACCTCTCAAAGGTTGGAAAATTAAACAAGAATATCAACAAAACCATATTGAGAATGATAACTATATAGTGGGTTATAAAATTTACTTAGTGTCGTTTACTTGAATCTTCCAATTGCTGTTTATAACTGTAAATGATCAGTATCTTATTGGCATATATGAATCCTGTACTGATTGCACCAATAGTGCCTTAATTTACAGTCATTCTAAGCAAAAATGGATAATGGCTAACTGTGGAATCCAGGACGCACGTTTCGTCCCATTGGGGATTCGTTAGCCGGATGTGCCTTCATCTCAGAGTTTATGTTCACTCTGGGACTCGAACCCAGTACCGTTCACTTCAAACGCTATCGCGTCGTCCACTTAGCTACTGAGTCCTGGTACCCACTTGTTTGTGAGATGGGGTGAAGTTTAAATTCCTCACCACTAGCCACTATCCACCTTTGCTTATAATGCTTGTGAATTAAGGCAATATCGAGGCAATAAGCACAGTATGCAGATATGCCATTAAAATATTGATCAGTTGCAGTTCTAAACATCAGTGGGAAGATTCAGGTAAATAACACCAAAACACTTTAAACTTTACCTCATTGCACAAGCACGTGGATATCAGGACTCAGCAGCTAAGTGGATAACACGATGGTGTTTGAAGTGAACAGTACACAGTTCGAACACGGGAGCAGATATCGTCTCTGAGTTACAGTTACATCCAACTGACGAGTGTCAAATAATGCGTGACTAGCGTCCTGGGTTCCACTGATAGCCAATGTCTATCTTTGCTTATAATTCGCAACTACAGTCCATACCTGGTAGAATCAAGATTTTAATTACTTTCAAAATACTAGAGGAGACAGTTTTGCTTCAACAAAGTTGTTTTTACGTCTATCAAGGTGTAGAAGTATAAAGTGTTGTCCATTTTTTCACTGCTTCATTATGTCTGTTTTGCAGACAGATTCATAGTTTGATTAGTAAAACATCTGCATAAGAATGTGTCCAAGTTCAGCAGATTAGTCCATTTATGCTTTCCTTTGTGACTATTTAATAAACGTTCTTCTGAGCAAGCATAATACCTTTTAAAATAATGAGGAAAATTTCAAGCTTAGGTAAATGTTTTCGGTGGTGTTAATCCACAAGCTTCATATCATTTCGGTCTAACTGCCTCGTTTGTGATTGGTAATCATTAGTTATGTTTGCTACATTTGCTCTTGAATGACTGTCTTCCGTTGATCTCTGATTCTATGATCGATTGAACTCCTCCACATTTGGTAGTAGTCGTTATGGTCACTGATCACCAACTGATTTGAATGTCATGCTTTTAAAACCTCCTCGAGGTTCTTAGGGTTCCCATGAACCACAACTTCGGAGCTTCTGCAATCAAATTCGCGTTCATAATTTCTCACACATGTATCAGCAACAATTTGAATTCTGTCACTGTTTATTTGTAATCATCAACAATCTTACTACTTCAAATGTTTTTCTTTCATTGGAATTGTGTGAAACTCACTCTATGTATCACATAAATTTGACCCTGTAATTCTTCCTATTTACAGAAAAAACCAGTTATTTTGAATGTTTCAGTTTTTAATATGAAATCTACTTTCCAGACAAATCTTTTGAATGATATGCTGGACGTTGTGGATTTGGAGGGCCGTTTAACAAGTTTTGAGAAACGTGTTGGCGATTTCGATTTGATCTGGGATGATGGTCCTATTCACCCTACTTCTGATACTACAGAAGGTTGGTTAATCAATGCACTGAACACCATAAATCCGTTTAATTCAGAAAATTCATCGGAATCAGTACATGTGTTTGGACCTAATGGACTACACAGACTTAACTCATTTCTTGGCTGTACTTCACGTCAATCAGCTAGATGTAAGTTGGACTCGAAATGTTAGTTCCTGGACAGTAGTACAAGGGTAATAAGAAATAATATAGATATTTACCATCCATTAAATTGTGTTCCATTGTATAAAAGTTTTCTTTGATATCAAAAATAAATATAATTCACAAGATAACTTTGATATTTTATTTCCTGAACAGTTCTATTACATTATATAGTAATCTGCTTACTTTACGAAGAAGTGTGTTATTTCACAAATGGTTTAAATGGTTCAAATGGTTGTGGACGGAATAAAAGAAGCTTTCGCTTAACAGGCTTCCGTGTCTAGTAGCAGGGGATCACCAAATCCTCCAGGCAGGAACCTAGGTATGTTAAAAATAAAAGAGGAAAAGAAATTGGTAAATCATAGTGTGATGCTGTCCCTGGTCCTTAAGAATAGGTCAAATTGCCTCTTGAAGGACTTCTGAGAAGTCGCTTGGACTAGCTCGGTTGGTAGCGAATTCCAGCTTTTGACAACTCTTAAGGAGTAGAAGTTGTGTCTACATTCCGTCTTGCTATGTTGTGTTTCCAGTTTCTGGGTGTTACCCCTTAGGTTATTATTCGAATTAAGCTTAAGTAGGTGTTTAAGAGGATGTCCAGAAGTGTTAAGAATACTATAAGCCATTAATAAATCACCTCTAAGACGCCTATACTCTAATGGGTAAAGGTCTAGTAAATGGAGGCGTTCTTCGTAAGATTTAGATCTGAGTCCTCGAACTGATTTCGTGGCTCGCCGTTGGATACGCTCCAAAGTGACCTTGTCCTTTTGGAGTGAGGGGGGAGTACTATGTTTCCGAACTCTAAATGGGGACGGATGAAACTATTGAAGATTGTATGGAAAGTTCGTCCGTCAAACTGTCCAAAAATGCGCTTCAATGTTACCAGTGCAAGGTTTGCTCGGAAGGCATTTTTGTCACAGTAAGTGTAAAACTTCAAATCATGGGGCATCAGGACTTGGGATACTACTAGAGTGGAGTTTCTTAAGTTGTAACTGTAGTTTGCGACATGTCGCAGATGGACTACTTTACACTTTGAAGTGTTAAAGGTAAGTCCGTTATCGTCTGCTCAACTTTGAAGTCGAGTCAGATCCTCCTGAAGTGCCTGTATATCGTCTTGGTTGCGTATCTCTCTCCAAAGTTTCACGTCGTCGGCAAAAAGTAATAAGTCTGACGTTACCTGTTGAGGAAGATCATTTATGTAGATCTAAAAGAGAAGAGGCCCTAGTACTGAGCCCTGGAGGACCCCACTAGGACATTCCATAGCCTGAGATAAAGTGAAATTATCTCTAACCTTAAAGTGTCGATTTTTTAGGTGTTTTTTGGTGTTTCCACTGGCAAAGCGAAGCAGTAATATATTGGTAGTTAAACTATCAGCTTCAATGTGAAGTTAGTTGGTAGAACGCATTAATATTATCCAGACGTTCATGGTTCCCATGTTGAGGAATTAATGCCACTATTTTATTTGTCCATTTTTTGGTTTTTTCCAACCCACTCATACACTAACGAACGTCGGTCTTCGAAGTAGAGGAATAAATGATAGTTTCGTATGTGTTGTATGATATTTTGGATTGATGGATCAATCCGGAACGGATTTTAGTCTTTAAGAACAGACAGTAGCTTGAAAACAGGATTTCACGTGAATACAGTTGTGATATTTTTTTTATGAAGTGATGGTTTAATTGTACATTATGTTGCCTTTTATTCATGATTACACAATTATACCATATGCATTTATGGTCTCCTACCTATTGGCACCAATGTTTTCATAGCTATTAGAGTACGTTTCCGACAGAAGCTGGGACTTTTATACCATACATTGCATCCCATACCAGTGTATAGTCTGATGCTGCAATGGAGTCATTAATTGGATGATTGGCTGGCAATTCGAGTGATATGGTGTTTGAATACTATACACATCGATCGGAAATTTGTTGCGACAACAGATATTAAAGATGCTGACTTCCTATTTGGTTTTGTTTTCAGTTAGTTTCAAACTTGGAAGCAATTATTTATATTCAGGAATTTGCTTCATGATTTCTTTGTCGATAACAGTGGGATTGAATATAATGTTTCGTATTCCAAGGCTCTAGGCTTGCTATTTTTAACCGGCGAGGTCAGAACGAGTATTCAGTCTACCTGCATATGGGTGTGACAGCACGAGATGAGGAAGGACAAGAATCATTCTAGACTGTCGTGTGTCATCAGATGACCAACTTTCAATCGAGGATGTCCACATCCCTGGGCTGACCAGTGTTAGTGATATGACGACGTCACAATCCACAAGATCGCAAACGAGGTTCTCCGGAGGGGCGAGGACGCTCTCTCCATTTGCCACAACCCGAAAGGCTACACGATCATGAGGGATCACGTTCAACCGCTCCATAGCCACGAGTGTTGGAAACTAACACTGGATGACCACTGGGGACAGGGAGGGATACTATTCAGGAGTCTGTCATTATCAAAGCATCTTAAGCACAGCGAACACCTGAAAAGTGAAGATCTTGGCTGAAACGAGGCACAGGACTCTTGATATGTCTTAAAAGGAGAGCCTAGCATAAATGGAAAACTGCCTTATGGATTCTAATCTCAACCCCTACCTGTTATTGAGAAATGAACGTGACATAATCTTTCGAGGCAATTTAAAATATATATACAAACCAAGTGACCAGTTAAAGCAAAAGCCAACCCAAAACATCTCTATAGGTTGTTGTTTAAACGAATGCCTACAAAACGGGTGGGTTGGCTCCATCAAAGTGCCTAACGGTGGAGATCTTACCAACACAGAGATGGCTGAAATCTTAACTCTCAATCTCACCAATCAGTTCAATCAGAATCACACAAAAGTGGAACAATCCCCAACTCTGGTGAGAGTTGGTGTTCTAAGGAATTTCCATCCAACTCCCAGGTAAGCACTTGCAAAACTAAAGTGCTGAGCTAAGGAAAATCACCAGGATATGACAACATCCTCCCTGAAATTTTGGAACAACGCACGAAAGCAATCATTTCATCAGTATGCGAGCAGTTCAGGCACTCGCTAGAGTCACAGCAACGTCCAAAATATTAGAAACGGTCTACTTTCTCTGAAGTCCTCAAGGCAGGAGATAGGAAAGTAGCAGCTTGCTGTAAACCAGTCACATTACTCTCAATATTATTGAAGAAACTGGTTAATGATTGAACAAGGGAATGGATGGACGAAAACAATGTTCACCACGAAGCCCTAAGTAGTTTTAGGAACGAAAAGTTCTGCGTGTCCAATCTTCCTATAGAATGGAGAATCTGAGTAACAGCTGGGACCGAACGATACTGGTCTGTTTTATATCCACAGACACCATGTCAGCTTTTAACTTGTAACGAGACACACTTTTCACGGTGAAGCTCAAGAAGATGGGTTTCACATACTGACGCCACTTTATTCGTAGCTTGAACTGCCAGCCCGAGTTGAAAACGCTTTTGAGGACAGCTTGTTGCTGTTGCTTACTATTTTCATGAAATTTCCTTTTGCGATAGCATTTCATGTTAGTTTTCTTGTGGAATGAGCTGCTAAGGTCAGTATATTAGAGTTGTGAGTCAGACTTTAGTAGTTTTAGGGTCATGAGTTATTGGTAATTGTTAGTGATTTTGAGCCAGTATTTAGCTGTTCCAGGGTTTGTTCATCTGAAGACTTGCGAAGGCATTGGGTATTCTGTATGGATATGCGAGACACTAGGTACGCCAAGGAACCTCGGTATAGACATTAGCAGAATACCACTGTCACTTACCTAAAGACAACCTCATAAAATTCGTGCATTAGAGGACGGAGACTTAAGTGCTCCCACACCTCACAACAGCTTTCAGAATAATAGAAACAGAATACCCTTTCTCTATTCGTCTACAATATCGAAGCTAGTGGAAGAACTAGCCAACGACTAAATGAGTGGATACATGGGCAAACGTAACGTCCTCAATGAATTCAGAACGGATTTAGAAAGGTCAGGTCTTGTGCATCCGTTCTACTTATAGAATGTTGGGTTAAACGATACCAGGCCATTTACTATTCGTTGACTTCTCGAAAGCGTTTGATACTGTGTCCCAAGCACTCCTCATAGATTAGGTCGTAGATATAAGTTTCTCAGACTCACTACTATCTTTGCTCCGAAACTTACCAGGGAACAGGATGTTTAGTACCAAGGTATAATGAGTGCACACAACCTTTTGGGTTTCAATACCAGGAGATTCAAAAGAGAATACGGCATGTCCACTACTCTACCCAATCATCATTGATGATATTTAAGAAAAAATAAGTTCTGCGATACTAAGTTACGCAGACAATGCAAAGATATGGAGGTCCATCTTAAATTCCACAATGTCGTTGCTACCCTATTCTTTGAAAGAGACATAAATCACGAAAACCAATAACATAGATGGGCAAAGAAGTGGATGATAGAACTAGGGAGGAAATCTTACGAATATAGATCCAGACATCTGAGACTATGCGCGCTGACCTGTGGAAGGATAAGTGATCTGATAGTGGCGTCTAGCACACGTAATTCGTCAAGTTGCTCTAACATGAACATCCGACCGGGACATGCTCCTCGACTCAGCCCCTTGGAAATTGTACATCAAAGAGCGCAAACCCAGGTACGCACCCACATGTCCTCAGGACGTGTTTCCCCTATCTGAAATTCTATCCCAGCTGAAGTGACCACATCCACATCGGTGGATAGCTTGTGAGGATACTTGACAAACAAGTATTGACCCATGTATTGCAATCTCCCTCTCGGGCATTCTGGACCAGACACATGTAGCGCAACTTATTAACTAAAATCATTACACTCTGCTTACTTATTCCTTTCTAGTCTGTTATCGCTTCTGTCTTTTTTCTTGAAATTCGGCCTTCTCATACCGTCAGGATTACCATTTACTAAACTTTAGTTATTTCTTGAAACAATCGTCTACACTGGGCTACTGAGTATTTGGGTCTTCACTATATTATTTTTCACATTGCAACGAACCAACATCTTGTATGGTAATTCAATACCCGCCAGCTCTGGAAACCCTACTGCCCTGAGACAAACGCATCCACTAAGGTTACAAAATAAATAAACCCACAAATTACTACCAAAATGTCTAGAACTAGTGTAGTTGTTAGACTACCAATAATCCGGAATTGTACCGAAACAACAAGAAGCGATCAAAAAAGAATCTATCGGCCTATATAATATCGTCACAAAATCACTTGATATTGGACTCAATTTTGTTTAATGTACCTAATGTTCAAGTAGTGCAATCAAATTTTGGGACCAGCTCTGGCGCATAGGTTGTACTGTTTCCGTGCTAGGAGTTAACTTTCTGGGTTCCTACTCTACAATTACCAGCTACAGCCCGTTTTTAATTTGTGCATAGTATTGATGTGTGGTGTGGGATTTTGCCGTCGTATTCACCAAAACTTATGCATATGCTTAGCTATATACACTCTATTTGAGTATCGTATTCCGTGTGCCCACTGTCATGATCGTGATGCTACGTTAAATAAACACTCAAGTGTGTTGTTTGCATCACTTACAAATGATAGCGAGTATATGGACAAAGAAATGCTCGCGAATTTCCTGAGGTCCTTGCATCTATACGAAGAATCTCCCCATGAGAACGATTCCAAAGAAGACAAGGTTAGTCATAGACGACATCACTTAAGGGATATCTCGTGCATTTTCATGAACTGATATTGATAGACATAACTTGTCAATTCGTCAGATCGATCCTGGTAAATACGTTTCCTGAAGAACACTTACCAAACATTTTGCTCAAAACCTCCCTATTTTGGGGAAGATTTTGTCCGTTTTGGGTAAATTTTGGGAAGCCGCAGTAAAAAACTTTGATGAAGTTTTTGAGAAAAGGCACAAAGCCCTCAAAATTTTCATAGGTTTGGGGAAAATCGTGATGCTTTATGCATCAACGTTTTCTACGTATAACTTCATTTTAGATTGCGTAGTATTTTTGTGATTATCTAAGTGTTTTGCACGTCACTTTTCTACCATTCGTCGTCGTTCTCTTTATCTTTGTTTGTTGATGCAGCTCATTCTTTGAATGTTTTCTGCTCTTCGTGCATATACAGTTCTACATTGTTGTGCTACATCAAGATACACTCGCTCTTCAAATCTATGTATGATTCTTCCGTTTGCAGGATCTTCGGACTATCGTCATGTACATCATGTAATAGACTTCACAAACAACGAAGTACTTCCCTGTGCAGAAGTTTTCACTTTCCCGTGTGATGAAAACGTTTTGTTTTATTGTGTTATATTAATTTCCAAAAAGAATTTCTTACGCTTAAACCATGTGTAAGGTGTGGCTGTTTATGGTGTTAAGTGAATTCAGTCTTATTGGTTCTTGTCCGAAGATTGTTTACTGCTATAGAGACTAACAGTGGAAAGGTTATCTTCGTTTCCGGATCACTTTCGTTCCAATAAATTTCTTATCCATCGCTGTGTGTATCGTAACATCTAGAGATTTTAAAATCCATTTTCAGTCCCGAATAAAAGCCAGATATTTTGCTCTATCACACCTAGTCTACCAGGATATGATAGGTCTTTCTGAGTATAGCTAGGTCTCGCTATCTTGGTTTCCTGATTTGAATATGTACATGTGGTCAGAACGTTTATGGTTTTCCTTATTTATTTCAGGTTTAATGATATACGATTTGTCATCCAGTGGTGTGTTAATTTTTCTCAATCACTAAGCTTTGTTTAAATAAACTTTATTGTACTCTAGATAATGTGGATTTATCTAGGCTGTAGGATATGATCTTATGGCTTACTGAATGCCAAACTGTTCTTTGCTTCTATAAACTTAATTTTCAGCGGAACTAAGGTGTGCCTCGATTTTTTCAATTCTACAAGTTGTTTAGTAGTTCTTACCTACTGTTAGTAACATGTTACCTTTACATCTGTACTATTTAGTGTTTCACGGCAAGTGAAATGTTCGATTTATTTTCTCCCAATCACTCACATCTAAACCAAACGGATTTTCATGCGTTGTTGCCGACTATCGTTTATGAGTTAAAAACTGGAGTTTGTAAGCACAATCATGTACACGAAGTAGTTCCTTCAACGCACGAGTTCAGTTGGAAAGGTAAGTCGACCTTAATTCAAAATAAATTTATACCACAATTTTAAATCCTCGTCCTTTCCACGTTCTCTTTTTCTCGTTTTGGTTTATTTCTCACGAATTCATCTCTTCAGTCACGAAATTAGTATTTATAAATTGAAATTTATACAGATGATAACCGTTATTTTGATATTGCACCGTGAAATTGAAAATTCTTGATTTTGTCAACTTAAATCTTGCCCGTCTACCAACCAAACAACAAGTATACTGTGTGCTCAGTATTTATTATCATCAAGTTGTCTATAAAAGTAGGATCTATGTGTGGACTGTAAGTAGCTTATCATAGGTGCCTTCTAGACATTAGTCACATAACGTAGTATCATGTCATGAGTAATGTTGGGACTCGTTGTGGAGTATCAATTAACAATGCCAAGTCAACTGTTCAGGCTACAGACCTTTATCGACTCAGGTGGTTAAGACATATGTAATGCATGTTCAGTCCACTGCTGACTGTCGTAGAAGTAAGTTAGCCAGCCGGTAGCAACGTGCGATTGAGGATATATTATCACCCCCTAAAGACATAAACTGCTCTCAACTGTTAGTATATGTGAGCTTTTTAGTTTGGGATTGTTTAGTAGCCCTAATATACGGCTGCAAACGTTATTTGATAAATCAAATTTCATTTCGGCGACACATTTGTGTTCATTTATTACCAAGATTTAAATCCTCGTTCTTTTTTCTCGTTTTGGCACATTTCTCACGAATTCATATCCCTTAAACCCTCAAATGCCCTGATACGGCCGACGGTGGGGAGAGTCAGCTTTCTTTCTCGAAATGTTCTCACATGGCCATGCGTATACAACCACTGCCAAGGAAGTCCTACTCGTGGCGAAGGTGTTGTTTGCGAAATTGAGAATGTCCTGTGCTTTAATTGGGTTAGTAGATATGGAGGATCCATTCAGGGAAGTTGGAAAACCCTAATTCCAAACCAATGGTGTACATGGGCTCCCGTATTCTTAAGGAAAAAATGTCGTACGAACCAATTATTGACCACCGGCTAACATGGAACTGCATCTCCTGACGTTGTTCCACTGCCTTGTGCATTGGACCTTTACGTCAAAGACTCCGGACGTGACCCCCTAAGAAAAGCAATCGCTTCGGCCTGGGAACCCGGGTAGTATCGCAGCCCACACATAAATCAAGTGACTTGTGTGGCTCATAAGTATTCGGTGTCCCTTTGTACCAATATTTATGTGTTCAAATAAATACGATTGCATTCATTATCTGTCTTTCTCTTAATCTTGAGTTTGGCATTATTTCGTGCTCTTATATCTGGAATCCCCCTTCTGTTTCGACTATATTCCTCATACTTAGCTTTCCGTTAGACCTCATATTACGTACCTTCGACTTCAATACGATGATGCCCTCTCGTTCTAATTGTCGGATTTTTCAGCGATTTCAGATATATTTGCGGCATATCATACGTTAACTGAAATTTTAGAATATATGTCGATAATTTCTGTTATCCGTTCTAAACCTCTTAAACCTCAGGAATGCTTATCCGTTTATGTATGTATTTTGAATCCTGGGCCAAAGTAATGGACCTTTAAGAACAGAATATGTTGTTGTTTCTTGTTTTCCCTCAGGTCTGTTATTCTGCTTTTATTGAATTCGTTTTTGTGTAGTAACTTGCTTACAAATTCATTATGTGTAGACCTATGAGGATTAAAAAATGATTTATTTTTCAACATATACACATTTATGTTTTGTATCGTAAATGTGGGAATTTGTTTACTTCGTATTTACGTGAGTTCTTTGGCTCATTAGTTTTTAATCACTTTATTTTTTAGCCTTTCTAGCTGCAATCGGTGCTGTGCTTTTGGTGAGCTTTTCAGGACTTATTGTTGTATGTTTGGTACCTCTAATGTCCCGAAGTTTTTACAATGTTGTAACTCAATTCCTTATAGCGCTTGCAGTTGGGTCACTTGCTGGTGACGCCTTTCTTCACTTAATACCTCATGTAAGCGTGTTTAATATAATAACAAAAAAATTTCAACAGCTTTGTTTGATAAAACGTTACGTATGCTGAGCTTCTAGACTCTTATGATATATTGTATTTATGTCTTTATAAGTGAGTTTATGTACATTTCGACTGAAGTTTTCATTTACAATGAAACGACACTTTTATCGTCCTGCTCCTTCGATTATATCACTATTTATCAACTGTAGTATTCGGGCACACAGACTCGGCTCCCTGGATTGTAAGACTGTCAGTTTGATACGATACTCAAAGTGTAGGCTTTAAAGTCAAGTCTTAATTGACTGGAGAACGAATGACCTACAAATTAATTTCCTCCAATCACCTATGACATTTTATCATGTTTATTTTGTTCCTATATTTCGAATATAATCGTTTTATTTATTGCATGGAGAACCATTTATCCGGCTAATGGTCTTGTCCTTGATCTGTAATCATTCGAGAACTTAAGTTAATTATACGGTCTCGTGAGTAGCCATCATTCAGCCACATTATATCATCGCGTTCGTCTATCGATCAGCATTCTATCCAATGATTTTAACAATCAAACCTCACGTCATCCAGAAAACGCGTAAAATAATACAGTTTTAGACGTTTCTCATTCTCTAATTGTTTTTCAGAATGCTTTTTAGAATATCAGGAAGATACTTGATGAATAACTCCAATTGTTTAAATAAATCAAAGAGAACGGTTGTATCAGGACATAACATTCATTTCATAGATTTTCTCCGTCTGTTTACAACCTAGAAACAATATGTATACTTCATGTCCGAATGATTGTTCAAAGATTTGTGTATTTGTAGGTTAAATACATGAGTATTCTAAAAGACGACACTAAGAATAACATAGAAACAAGGTTTTTAGAAATCGAAGTTTACGTCATAGTTTATGCAGTACTTAAGGAAATTGACTGAGTACAGCGTAGATGAGAAGTAAGGAATTGTCATTTGGGCCATGGAAGAAATATCACGTAAAGGTTCACTCAAATAAGATCATCAGGACAACATAATTCTGGTAACTGTGTGTTTGGATGCCGAGATTTGGATTAAATCTTTTTGTAACAACAACTTCAACAAGGCATAATAAAATCCAAGTCTGGTTTACTGGCTATCCTAAGGAATTATGAGACACCATCACATTCACTGTCAGTCGAATGACGAGTAATCTTATTCATAAGGATATGTCCTTCTGTTTTTGTGGAAAGCTCCGAGATGTTGACATTAACTCTCTTTGGTTTTCTTCCAGTGCATGTAAACTGACAGATAATTATAAGTAATATAAATTGGGAATTTGTGAATATTTGCTTGTTTCAATGAGCAATCCGACTGGTACAAGAACTAACTTAGTGGCTAAATACGTTGTAAAGTTATAGTTTAAATCTATGTAGTTTACAAAGGCATCAATCATTATTTGTCAAAAGAATCTAAAGTTACGAACAAGAAAATAGTTGTATTAAAGTAATCTAGTCACAGTATGTGTTGAGGTTTCGTGCAGACAGATATATTCAAGGCTCATTTTAGTAATAAGTGTATCTCGTGTCACAATAATTAGTATCTTTATTAAAATGTTAAATACTGTTATGTAAACAATAAGCTTGGAAATCAAAAACAAGTCTCTAGATATGTGTATTTCTGTCCATTCATCACTAGCAAATGTATAGGCCAAAACAAAGTTTAAAGGTTTAAATTGAGGGGTATAAATTTGACTAAGTCTTCTAGTAAACTAAGTTCATTGGGTATGTAGTGACCTTTTATTTCGAAGTATATGGAGTTTTAGTGGTCCATTTTTTTAGTCTCTCTGATTACCAGTCATTCGACTTTGTGTGCTCTTAGTTTTTCTCAGTAGGTTTTCATATATAGAAGCAGCTATCAGTCGGTTGTATCCTATAATCTCGTAGGATGGATTCACTATTATTTAAAGCATTTCGATGTGACTGATCACTTAAGAAGCAATTTTGTATATGCTTATAGTTCATGGGGTTTATTGATGAGTTCATTTTATATTTTTGAGTTAATGATCAGCTGGTGAATAGTTTACATCACTTGAAGTATGAACTAGCTAGTAATTAATTTCTATTATTGACACCTCTGTTGTATCGACAGGTTATCGCTTGTTTTTTCTCATTGGACGACAACATCTATTGAGATTATAATTTTCTTGTTTTCAGGCTTTTTCTGGTGCTGGACATATCCATCACAACCATGATCACGAAACTAATATTGTTCATGAACATATTGACGAACATCACCACGAATCTATATCATCAACAAAACTCAGCTCGCACCGGAAAATGATTTTGGAGGCACTCATAGCTTTACTAGGCATTTATATATTTTTCTTAACTGAGCGGCTTACCATCATCTGCCAAAATAAAATGTCTAGACGGAAGTTGAAACGTCAACATGTAAGTGTATTCATTTACCACACAAATATATATATATATATATATATATATATATATATATATATATACATCGTCATTTCATTCTATTTGTGTGTGGGCTGTGATACTGCCCGGGTGCCCAGACCGAAGCAGGTGGTTTTCTTAGGGGGCCCCACCCCGAGCCTTTGACCTAAAAGTTTGATCCACAAGGCAGTGGAGCATCGTGAGGAGATGCAATCCTATGGTAGCCGGTGACCGAAAATCGTTTCATACGCCATTTGTTCCTTTAGGATACTGGAGCTCATGTGCACCATTGATTTGGTTTGGGATCCGGTTAAAGCCCTGGACATTCGCTTTTCGTCCTCTCATTTTCGTAAACAACACTCTCGCCACGAGAAAGCAGTGAGTAGGACTTCCTTGGCAGAGGCTGCATATGCGTGGCCATGTGAGAGCATTTTGAGATGGAGGGAGGGTCTTCCCCACTCTCGGCCATACCAGGGCATTTGGGGGCGTATTCATTTACCTGGTTTTCTGATTTGAACTTGAGTTAGTTTTGGACTTTATGTTTGACAAAGCTGCTTTAAAATTGAACTTTGAGCTACTGATTTGTATATTCACTAAAAATATGACTTGTAAAGGCTTAGTAAGATAGATCTCAACTTGCGTTGGTGGTATGATTTCAATCTGTGAAATTTCTAAAATCTCCACAAAACGCATTCTGAAAATACTGTTTAGTAAAAATGAATGACGTTTTCAAATTATTTCAATTTTGTATTTGAATAGTTCATGATGAAGTTATGGATCAATAAGAAAAAAACGGATATAAACATTTTTGGCTTTTCTGATTAGTTCCCGTTGTCTATTTATTGTTGTTAAACTCATGTTCTATGAGGTGAATAAAAATTAAAAAAAAAACAGATTTCGGTCACTACTTCATTTGTGATTTGAGATATATCGGTTAATGAGGTTTAAATATCAGTTCGATCACTAAGTTCATTGTTGAGCATCCGTGTAAATTCAAGTAATTATTATTTATACATCATATCATACCAACATTTTAGAATGATATTCCTTTTCTTGTTCGTTTTTGAATGGAAAGGATTGATTGTGAATTTGTCTAAGCGCTCGCGCTCGAGACTGGCAATCCCTGGGTTCAAATCTCGCGGAGGGCGGGGTCGTTGATGCACACTGCTGAGAAGTCCCACAGTAGGACGAAACGGCCATCCAGTGCTTTCGGGTTTTTTATGGTAGTCTAGCTTCAGTTGACTCATAATCCTGACTATTTAAGTAATTTTCTTTGTTCGACTAATTTATTCATATCCTCTAATATAAATCTTTTTTTATTCATTAGAATACGTGATAAAAAAATACAGTCCTATTGAATTGGTTTAATTGTACATAATTAGTATATATATATACCCTATCGATTCATAGGCTCAGCAATAGTATGTGAGATTATTGTAAAAACGAATAAATGGGTTGCAAATTGTTTTTATTTATGATTACTATGCACGTTATAGATTCCTATAATTTGACGATTTGAAAGGTAGATAAAAGTTAAAATGGTATGAGAATTCTGAAATGCATTTACATTGACCATATTATGTAACTGATCGTTTGCATAGGTTGTACAGATTAGTTAAATATATAACTGAAATAGCAAGTGCAGTTCGAGCTATAATGTTAATTAATATAACAGAGTAAACCAAACTAATAAACTGACACAAAAGACACAATCGGAACGGAATGCTTGTTATTCAAATATAACAGATTCCGAGTTCCAGTAGTCGTATATAAGATGTTATCAAGTATCAACTTAGCTCTGGAACTACTTACTTTCCTAGTATAAATGGGATTTGATATTCCTTTATAAAAAATTCAGATAAATATCTACTACCTAACTAATGTAATGTGTCCAGCCAAAATATGCATATCACATATTTAGTATCAAACTAATTGCAGAACAGCGAAATATAACCAAACATCACATTAACAGTACAAGAGAGCGCCAATATATATGCGCCACACACACAAAAAAAACTTTCATCGGTTCATATAAACAAAGGTAGAATGTAAATAGTAGTGGACTTTTGATGAAAACCACGTCCGGATGATTCCATGATAGCTAACTGCTAACTTCTTGTTTTCAAGCCTCACGAAACCCTAAATCTATCATTACAAGATCATTATATACATTATGTACAAAAGTAATTCGAATATCAGATAGAAAATTCATTTCACTCTGATCTACTGATCTGTATATTCACTAAAAATATGACTTATATCGTTTTAATAACGTATATCTTGAGTTGTGTTAGAGGTGTGAGATCTGTAGTCACCTGCGGTTGTCCACTCTATGATAAGACACTTCTCGAAAGATCTAACATGGAAACTAGACTACATAATATTAATATAGCTCAAATGGGTCACCATTACACACAAGCCTGATCACCATGTTAAGGTAGAGACTATGCTGTAGGAGCAGGTTGTAAGAAAGCTAAGAGTGTCATCAATCCATGAAGGCACTAGCTGTCAGTCTAAGTCATGTTTGTAGATGTAGACTGATTGATAAGGGTTTTCACGATCATGCTTCGGTTTGGGCACCCGAGCAGTATCACATCCCTCAAATAATTCAAATGAGATTTCTGTGGCTCATAGGTGTTTGGTGCCTCCTTGTACCAATATGTATGTGTTCAAATAATAATAAGTTGGAAGCATCAGCTCGGGATCAGATTATTGACTGAAAGTCGAACGCCCTAACTAATCACTAGGACATCGCTCCCACGTCCCATACAGTAGTTGCAATTAAACTATTTAGCACTGAGAAATTCATTCGGATTTTATCATTATTCTTTTGAAAATGGAGGTCAAAAGAGCAAGTATTTCTGTCTGGCATTTAATACTATTCTTCATTTTAGGCACCAAAGTATCGTACTTATGCCTTGTCACTTTTATGAGTTGAAAATACTCTATAATTCACTACGCATAACTTGGCAAGTAAGGAATCACAAATAATCACATATTATGATTAATCAATATGAGAATTCTAGACAGATTAGGTCAAATATCTTTTTCTTACAGTGTGTGTGTGTGACAGAGTGATTGTGTAAAATATGCTCTCTTTAACAAATTCATGACACTAGTAACTACTTAAACTTTTTGTTAAATAAATAGGTTATCAGCTAAACTTGCCCCTGAAAGCCGTAACACATCAAGTGATTCGGTCACGGCTGGTTGGTTGGTTGGTTGGTACAATTAGAATTCATATCTGCCTGTTGTGTTCTTATTCCATTCTAGTCATTAGGCAAAAGGTGGAAAGCTTAATCCTGAACCTATAGGCAAACAGTATTGATCTCGGTTGTCATCTCATTGCCATTGAACTACTGGCCAAGAGTAAATCATTGTGTCATGCAGGAAATCTAGGCGAATTAATCAATAATTGGACTAGATAGAATGACTGTTCTCAGAATAATAGCTCGATCACACGGTCCTCGACATAATACGATAATCTTTATCGAGACAGATGTGCAATTGAAACTTTGATGAATTTCTCCAAGCTTTTCGTCGTAGCTTTCATTTTAAACTAGTTTTTGTTTCTTCCTTTTTTACTTTCTTAAACTTGATAAGGTTTTTAGCGTTAATACTATTCAGTTGATAGTAAACGATTATTTCTTCTCTTTATCTGATTATTCATTGTAATCTGTTTTGATGGTTTGATCTGTCTGTCTGTTTGCAATTTAGTCGAAATATGAAAGTTAGAATTGTGACAAAATAAATGCTTCTTAGGTTTGTTTTTTTTTCTTGAATGAATCAGAAGTTTTAATTTATTCTCAAGTTTTTTTATTTTATGTAGATTTGTACTTTCTTAATTTTTGTCTACGGATCAGCTACCTTCTAATCATCCATAATTCACTAGATAATACATAAGACTGTAGTCGGTTTCTACGTATGTCTAATTCATTTTTATGTTTATCATTCATTTGTAGACACTTATTCACTTGCTGTAATGGGCAGAGTGGGGCTTTAACATTTTGGTCATCGTGTATGATCTCCCTTTTTAATTCCCTCTAACATTTGATTTTTTCTTTTAGAGTACTGCATTGAACGAAAGCCAGATGTGTAATTGCTCTCCTGAACGACCCATGGATAATAGTCGTTGCGTAGATTATCTTAATGAAAAGCAAATAAGTACGTAATAAATTTTATTCAAATAATTTTTAAAGACTACTCTTTTAGCCTGTATATTATTTTTAATCTTGAAGAAGTGCTTATATAATGAACACTTTCTATGGAGTAATCTATACTTAATGGATTTGTCTTGAATTCTTGAGGTTATATGAGCAACAATACATAAAATGTGGTACCAAAATTACGAAAATTGAATTTTAGAAAACCCAATATAAACCAAGAACAGTTGAGTTTCTAAGGATATTACAATAAGATACTGAGTTTAATAGGAAAAATGATTGAAGAGTATTAACACGTTCATAATTTACAAAAAATACTGACGAACCCAATAGCATCGTATTACTCTAGTCACCTATGGTTCGTGTCTATCGATTTCTGTTTCATAATCTGTACTCGAAATAACATTAATTCTGGTGTTGTTGGTGAACACAAATAAACCACACAAAAGAATTAGCAGTATCACAATGGGGGTTTGTGGAGGTTGTGGTAATTTAATGGTTGAATTCGTCAGACGATTTAAGCTGGACCATCATGGAAAACTTGGAAGTCCTAGTTAGGGACTCTAGCAGTGCGCAATATCGTGGATTGGTTGAGGTCAGACATTAATACCGTTAGATGCCGGCTCAATGATAATGAGAGGGATCGTTCACTGATAGGTACCGTTCTTATGAAGCTGTCCTTCATGACATAGAATAATTTACAAACTGACCCCGTTGCCTCTGTTCTCACCCCGCCCTAGCATCGGAAAACAATGTTCAATGTGGAGTTCACTGGAGCGACATTCATAAAACATGGCCAAACCATCGGTGTCGGTTTTTCAAGATGGTAACGTCAACTGTATAATCGTCATTGCACTGGGATACATATAACTGGACATTGGCATTACTAACATGGTGTTCGCAGTGGATGCAAGCAATCCTTCGGAAACAACGATTGTTTAACACAAAGAATCGTTGTGCACCCTGAGCTCATAAGGTCTGAGTTTGACAAGTATAAAACAAAATTGCACTTAGCGACACGTTATAAGACCGACTACAGATAGACTAACATCAAGACGGTACCAGAGATAACCCACATTATCCTAAGCTTCTCTATCTTTCGTCATACATAGGTTGATCCCATCTGGCAGGTAGCCACTAACATTACTAGTACTCACGCAACTACTAATATGAATGAATATTTCGACCATTTTGACAGTTCGTCACAAAAAGAGTCCAGACAATGATGAGAAGGAGTAGTGACATTGTGCAACTCTGTCTAACTCCACTCTTGGACTGCAATAATACAGACAGGTGGTTGTAAGCTTTTACTCTTCTTGGTCTATTTATTTATTTGATACGATATGTGTTCAATACATCCGCGATTTAAATGAATACCAGCCTACTCCCAACTAGTTAATCATTCATGGATTTTGCACAGTCTATGTATCATTATAGATACCATCGATTAATATCGCAGAAATTAGGTATACCCTTTGTGAAAATGGGAACGTTAATTTCTCAGATTTCCAGATTCTTTCGAACAATCTAGTCATTGCACTGCCCACATATTCGTTACCATTCTTAGAAAAAACCGGTTTTAGGTCTTCTGGTCCTGGTGGTTTGCGACGCTTTAAAAGCTCGAGTTTCTTAAGAACCCGTGCCTCCATAAGCGTTTCTATTGTCATAGGTTAATGAGCAATCTAATTCATGCTGATAGTGAAGTTAATTTATTTCTCGAAGTCGTCTCCTTAGCTTTCAAGACAACTTGGAAGGTTACTAATTCTCTAACTATCAACCTCACAAAGTTTTTCTTTGACACAAGACTTCTTGTAACTTGTGATCAGAATGTGTAGGAGTATTTTCCGTTAATTACCAAATGTATGTGCTGCTTTCAAGTCATCAGCACACTTTGTCCACATATTAAGACGAAATAAATATGCGAGATTACGTTTTTAACTGATTGTGAACTTTGTTGTATGGTATTTCCTTTATTTAATATTGTATGATAATTGCTCAGTGTATTATTTGTTTAATTTTCGGATAATATTCTGTGTATTAATTCAGTATGAACTTCGTTCATTTGCCATACAGTTGGGGCTGTGTAACAATTGCTAATTACTCACTAACTGTGATTATAATTAACCTAAAAATGAGTGTGTCCGTTAAAGTGTTTGTTGTATTTTTGTAGAGTCATTAACATTCTTTGTCCATATCAGTGTTTGTCGTATATTTGGATCACATGAATCACAGTTGTTTCCACTTCAAAATAATTCACATTTACATCACTAGGCTTATTGATCCCCTATACAAGCTTAGTGAAATTTCATATTTGTATTGCCAAACTCACGATTATGTCAAGTAGATTGGAGTACTTCAGTGAGTCGTAAGGGGCTTGCGAAACTCAAAACTCATAAGCAGGACGTTAAGCAGAGCCTAAAGCGACTTTACTGACCATATTTTTGAAATAATATAAACTTGGCTAGTGGGTGCCTAGGATTTTCACTAAATTAACAGCCATCCTTAAACTTAATTTGGTTGACGATAATCGTGCCAAAAGGTTGTGTTTTTTCTCACTTCAATGGTTTAGGAAAAGTGAGCTTTCTCTTTCAACATGCAACTCATACTACGAAAACATGACTCTCCCTTGTATTGTTTGGATAAGGTTTGGTGTATAACAGATGAATAGCAGTTGTTCTTGTAAGACTATATTCGTCCGTAATCATCAAGGAATTTGAGATTACTTGTACTAATGTAATTAAATTTGTATTCAAACATAAAATCATCAAGTCTTGTCCCATAGTCAGTAATTTTTATATATATTCAGTCTTCGCTAGTTCATGAATCTCAACTGCTTTTGCAAATAAATAGCCAGTTGTGACGTTTGCTATATTTTGAGCTCGTGACGCTGATGGTAGTACTTTCTGATGTAGCGGCAGAATATCAGATACTTGTATGGTGTCGAGGACCGTGTGGTCGAGCTATTATTCTGAGAACAGTTATTCTATCTAGTCCAATTATTGATAAATTCGCATAGATTTCCTGCATGACACAATGATTTACTCTTGGCCAGTAGTTCAATGGCAATGAGTTAACGACCGAGATCAATACTTAACACCTATAGGTTCAGGATTAAGCTTTCCACCTTCTTTTGCCTAATGACTAGAATGGAACAAGAACATAACAGGCAGATATGAATTCTAATTGTACCAACCAACCAACCAACCAGCCGTGACCGAATCACTTGATGTGTTACGGCTTTCAGGGGCAAGTTTAGCTGATAACCTATTTATTTAACAAAAAGTTTAAGTAGTTACTAGTGTCATGAATTTGTTAAAGAGAGCATATTTTACACAATCACTCTGTCACACACACACACTGTAAGAAAAAGATATTTGACCTAATCTGTCTAGAATTCTCATATTGATTAATCATAATATGTGATTATTTGTGATTCCTTACTTGCCAAGTTATGCGTAGTGAATTATAGAGTATTTTCAACTCATAAAAGTGACAAGGCATAAGTACGATACTTTGGTGCCTAAAATGAAGAATAGTATTAAATGCCAGACAGAAATACTTGCTCTTTTGACCTCCATTTTCAAAAGAATAATGATAAAATCCGGATGAATTTCTCAGTGCTAAATAGTTTAATTGCAACTACTGTATGGGACGTGGGAGCGATGTCCTAGTGATTAGTTAGGGCGTTCGACTTTCAGTCAATAATCTGATCCCGAGCTGATGCTTCCAACTTATTATTATTTGAACACATACATATTGGTACAAGGAGGCACCAAACACCTATGAGCCACAGAAATCTCATTTGAATTATTTGAGGGATGTGATACTGCTCGGGTACCCAAACCGAAGCATGATCGTGAAAACCCTAATTAATCAGTCTACATCTACGAACATGACTTAGACTGACAGCTAGTGCCTTCATGGATTGATGACACTCTTAGCTTTCTTACAACCTGCTCCTACAGCATAGTCTCTACCTTAACATGGTGATCAGGCTTGTGTGTAATGGTGACCCATTTGAGCTATATTAATATTATGTAGTCTAGTTTCCATGTTAGATCTTTCGAGAAGTGTCTTATCATAGAGTGGACAACCGCAGGTGACTACAGATCTCACACCTCTAACACAACTCAAGATATGCCTTATTAAGGTGATATAAGTCATATTTTTAGTGAATATACAGATCAGTAGATCAGAGTGAAATGAATTTTCTATCTGATATTCGAATTACTTTTGTACATAATGTACATAAAGATCTTGTAATGATAGATTTAGGGTTTCGTGAAGCTTGAAAACAATAAGTTCGTAGTTAGCTATCATGGAATCATCCGGACGTGGTTTTCATCAAAAGTCCACTACTATTTACATTCTACTTTTGTTTATATGAATCGATGAAAGTATTTTCTTTACACGTTTTATCGCACTGTTAATGTGACATTTGGTTATATTTCGGTGTTTTGCAATTATTTTGATACTGATTTTGTTTGTTTGTTGAACTGGTGTTTCATATTTTGTTTGTAATATTAGGTGGTTCAGATGGTGCTAATCAACCGCACTGGTCTTTCAACAACAATATTGTGCCGCCAACAGATACCATTGAAGCGGTAGCAAATATTGATCAACAACATTTTAACGGTGGTGGTGTTGTTGTTGAAGGTCACTACACAAAACTATCCGATTTGAGAAAGTCATCAGTGCACAATAATAATAAGAATATTAATAATGTTAATAAGCAAACATCTGTAATAAATAATGGGGGATCCGTAGTTGATATGCTTGATGTGAAACAAGTGAGATTATTATGTTTTTAGTTAAATTACTTTTTAGTAATTTGAAAGGTTTTTGTTCGATTCAACAACGTAACACTTTTTCTGAAAGTTTTCTCAGTAGTTTTCAATTAAGCGGATTGGTTTTTAGCAAATATTCTTCTCATTTATGTTCTTACATTTCGATGTACATTGATAACCTCATCAGTCGACTTACTATTTTTACTCAGAACCCTATCCCTCGCATTAGCATTCCTCACTCGATATTTCCTCGGACCCCAAGAAATGCTTCGAAAATACGTGACTAAAACCCTGTAGCCTAAGTAGGTCTTTCAATTTCCTAGAACAAATTTCACAGCCACAAGGTGAATCCAAACGGACTTCTTTGCATTATACACACCTTTCAGTTGGTAGACATCTCTCAAACCACAAGCGTCTCAAGTTAGCAAACTTCAATCGGATTTTCTGAATCCGTGCTGAGGTTTCATCTGACACCAGAACATCTGGACTAATGAGAATCTCAAGATAAATAGAGCGGTCTTTACGATCGACTTCACTTATATATATGACAAAGTTAAATAAAAATAGTGAAAGTGGGCAACCCTGATGAACGGCACGTGAAATTATCAATTCCGATATCAGTTAGCCGTAAGCTCCGACGTAATCAGAACAACTCGAGTAGAAAGCCTTAACAGAGTCAATGCACCTGATTGGTGACAAACATACAGAACCTAACGACCAAGAGTCGTACGCATCACATATGTTGGGTAGTATTAGAGTGGTCCTTTAGCTCGGGTAGATTTGATTCGTAAGTTTCGTCATCCTAAAAGAGTAAGTACACAAAAAATTTGAGACCTATTCCACCAAGTTCAATGGATAAAATGAGTACATAAATTCACGTTTGGTTAACTAGTACCACAGCTCAGAGATTTGTTAAGCGACGAAAATATATGTTAAATACTATGCATAGAATAAATAACATATCAGTTAAGAACCCAGTACGTTGACCATTCGGTAAGATACAATCATGACGTTGACAGGCGTACACCACTGCTTCCGGTTGTAAAGCCGAAAGAATCAAACGATAATGAATATCTGAAGGAGAGACACTGGACAAGGAACTCGACTTGACAACAGGATCTGGATGCTTTTGTCCGTGATTTTAAAACCATATGAAATTATTATTATTATCAATGGCTTTATTCCATATTATATTTTTAGCACAATATAGAATCCTCAACACAAGGTATTTCAACGAGTTTGTTCTATAGAAAAGGAAAAAACAGGTGAAAGAAACTGATAACTGCATACATATATACAATAGTTAAGTAGATAAGCTGCCTGATGTTAAATGAAATGCTTTTTTTAAGAAGATTTTAATCTATACAACATTGCTCAGTTAGAAACTCTTATGAATACAAGTTATGGACTGGGACAACTCTAACAACCTGTTTGTGAAATAGTAAATTTGCTAGATAAGGTGTTGTAGAGCTTTTATACCTTTGCTTGCATGCAGGGATTCTAATGTATTAACGTCTCGTTCTACTCGAAGATATACTGTAGTGAGCGAGAACTCAGATGGGAAAGAACAATTTATTGTTTAATGCAACATTACAGTGTCTTGGTAAAACATTAAAACCATACATTAAATACATCATTTGAACATCTTCGATTGATTGTTTTTTACAAGCTTCATCGTCCTTTCATTCCGGTTGTTGTCACAATTACTCTCTGTATATATTCCTGTTCTCTTCAATTTGATCTTTCCAATCTTCTGCAGCCAGGCATTCTACCTCTGATTGATGTTACATACCACCTATACTTGTCAACATAAGTAGAAAACATCACAATAATTGTAGTATTTTGCCATTGTGCTTTGTTCTGTAAACTGGTGTAACAGTCTGTGGTTTATTTATATTATCTATTTAGAATAATACTACATTAGAGCTTGCTAACCCTGCTAATAATACTCCTTCACAAACTGGTAAACCTAATGCAATTTTAAGAACGAATTCGTCGTTCGATTATATTGGTGGCGGGGAACAAATTCAAACACATCCACATCGTGATAAACCACATGGACATCATCATGGTCATAGTCATGATTTAAGTTCTGTTCGTGCAATTGCTTATACTATAATTGCTGGTGATGGATTACATAATTTTTGTGATGGTATAGCTATTGGCGCTGCATTCGCGAATGATATGCGTGGTGGTCTGTCAACTTCAATAGCTGTATTATGTCATGAACTCCCACATGAACTAGGTAAGTTAAAGCTATAAAAAGTACGGCGTAAATTGTCGGTTTTATTTCCCCATATTTATATCTAATATATTATGTTAAATTCTTAGCTCAATTACTCAATATTTTACAGTGTACTATTCTTCCTACTGTAGCTAGTTTATCGAATTATGTAACCTGGTATATTGACACTTTTAAGTTCAATTATAAGTGAAATGTTAACTAAGAACTTGTTGGTTCTTGAAATAGTTACCGTAACCTTAACCCCTTAGATAGTTTGCTTTATGATTATGATGATCCAAGGGTGAACTTATGTAATAAGGGGTTATTATGGATATTGGACGAATCTAAAACAATAATTTCTGTCAAACATTCAGCTTAAGCAGGATTAAATAAACTTTATTACTAATATAATTCATATCTAGCTAAGCATTTCGATCCCAACATAATGGTAATTGCAATACAATGATCAAAGTGTAGAAACAAAACATTCTTAGCACATAAAATCCACTGTGTCTGCAACACAATAGACAACTTTGTAGTCGATTATTACTATTTTTAAATAATTGCTTTCATTTACTTCCTACACTACATATATCTTCATTTTCAAATTTGCCTTTATGGAATATATAGTTATTCTGAAAGTCCCGTCTTCTCGATTAGTATGTGTGATAGACATATGGTTTATCCGAGCTTCTATTCGTTGTGTCATATTAGAATAATCCTTAGTCGGTCGTAAACATAATTTATCTCAAGCCAGTCAAAAGCCTCAATATTTTATTCGTTCTTGTTAAGATATAACACAATGTCGATCTAGTCGTGGACACTTCCACCGGCTCTCACAAAGATAAATAAATGGATTCCGTATATTCAATTGTTCAACACATACTAAAGTCAAAAATCTATAACAGCCTACATTCATTTCAATACTATTTCCAGGATATCATTGACATAATAACTTAAAAGTAAACAAAGAAATTATGCGATCCTATCCTTACTTTTCCGGTTAAATTGATTGTAAAGGGCTTTAAATAAGGTAGCGACTGAAAGACCCACTTCTCTCAAGCGTAAATATACTTAAGACAAATATACGTGTCAAATAAGGGCCAACTGTAATAACAGTAAATAAAACGATGGTAAACCTGTAGTACTTGTGATTCAATTAAAGCGCCCAATAGAGGTCAAAGTATAATAGTCAACAAATCTAGGATTTATGCGAGAAGTGACCTAGTGTGCTCAAGTTAATCTTTCAATGGTTTTGGACAACTTGTACAATTCAATGTAAACCAATATATTTGACGCATCAGGTAGAGTAGACCTATGCCCAAATGATCTTTACATTCAATATGTAAGTCTCTTTTTAAAAAAGAAAGTGAATATAACAATCGTTTATTTAGAAAACAAAAAAAAACAACTGAAAAATCACTTCTTTCATCTTACTTTTTCAAATAGAGTTCAATGATGAAATGTTCTAATTAGAATTTCTGATGAGACCATAATTTATGAACAACCTTTGACTGACGCTACAGTGACCTTGAAAGTGTCCACCTACTAATATCTACGACCAAATGAAGATTGGAATTATGATTTATAGTTGGTAATTAAGGTTAAGGATTAGATTTAAGATTTTTTTTAAAATCATGAACTGACATCAGTTATAATGTCAAAATGGATAAGTGAATTTTGCGCCAAAATCCGAAATCTATTATCTTATATCTGATTGATCCGTTCACTGAATTTCGATCATTGATTCTATTAAAAATCAATCAATATTTTATTTATTATCATTATCATTCATTTTTAGGTGATTTTGCTGTTTTACTTCATGCTGGAATGTCTGTAAAATCAGCTTTATTTTATAATTTATTATCCAGTATATTATGTGCTGCTGGTATGATTATTGGTTTTTTACTTGGTGGAATGCATTCATTAGATACATGGATATTTATGTTAGCTGCTGGAATGTTTATTTATATTGCATTAGTTGATATGGTTAGTTTTCTATTTTTTGGGGGGGGGTTTCTATTGTTTTTCTGTTAGATTTCTATACATTGATTATAATTGATTATTTTACTCCCCCTCTTTTTTTTGAAAAAAAAGAGGTTGATAATTAACTCATTAGTGATAATGTCTGATCAAATTTTCATGATCCATCCTGATCGCAAACTATTGTCATAAGTGATTGGAATTCTTACTTACACCTATCACCCCTCGTGTAGGAGCATAGGCGGCCACTTATCAGCATTTACCATTGTACTCTGCTTCCAATTCTCGGCTCAGTGTATTCTTTGGTCTTGGTCTTATCTGTTTCCCTTCAGAATTCCAAGTTAGCGCTTACCTGGAGATGAAGTTTAGTAGTTTTTGTAATGTGTGTCCTATACACCTACAACGTCTTTTCCTAATTTCCTCTTCACGTAGGTGGTGGGTTGTTCTCTCTCATATTAGATTGTTACTGATGGTTGTGGTAGTTCTCCAAGTTTCACCTTTATACAATAAAATTGTCTTGACGTTTGTATTGAGGATTCTGACTTCGATGTTGGTTGATAGTTGTTTTGAGTCCCATTTGTTTTTAAACTGTAGTGATGCTGCCCTTACTTTTACAGTTCTTGTCTGCACTTCACCTGAAGTTCTTCTAGGGTTACTGCCGGTCCCAAGCCCGGGTAAAGAAGGAGGGTTGGCAACGAGGTTGGCAACCTCACTGAATTCATAATGAAATGTTAATTTGTATGTATTGTAAGTTGATAACTGTAAACGTAAGTCAATAAGAAGAGGATTATGCTTAGAATATCCTAGTTTTTGGTTTTATTGTTCAGTCAACACTTCGTTATTCCAATTAGTTTTTTTGTTCTTCAATAAAATGGATTTATATTTTGTCCTTAGTTTCAGCCTACTGAGCTGGCTAAATATATAGTTAAGCCCTTGTATTATTAGACTATAAAGATTGTGATTGAATTTTTGGCATCGTCTTTACGGAGGATCAAATAATGTTCTATACTTGTTATAAAATATGGGTTGGGATATTTTTCCCTTTCAGATGTACTATCGTTATGCGTTGAATACGATAATGAAAGCGGTCACGTTATATTAGTAATAGGGTTTACGACCTAGAATAAAGAACTAAATTAACACTAGATAGTACTTTTTTCCATATAATTACAAGCAATCATTGTTAGTGAGCTAAATGCTTGTTTATCCATTCTCAATGACCAATCATATTTTACTTTCATTATTATATATCAATAATACACTACTAGTTAGGGATAATCTGTACTTTATTAATTGTCTAACTAACCTCTATTTAAGTACTTTTTGTTCTCATTTTTTGCGCTTAGCAACATAGAGCATGCTACCAGCTTTTTATTACTTATCGTATCCATTACTGACTAATATGGATAATTATCAGAAGGGATTTTGTGAAGATTTTTAAGAATTTCAATAGTTGAAATCATGAGTCAATTGAAGCTACACCACCATGGAAAACCTGGAGTTCTAGTGAGAAACCGTGATCAGTGGAGTTCAACGAGCTCTGTTGTGTGATATCAACTCACTGTGAACAATGATGTACGGCGGTGCAACTTTGTGGTTTTGTTGAAGTTAGACATTAACAGCGTTGGTTGCCAGCTCAGTGGTCTAATGGTTAAGCGCTCGCGCATGAGACTGATAGGTCCTGGATTCAAATCTCGCATGGGGCGGGATCGTGAGTGCTCACTGCTGAGGAATCCCATACTAGGACGAAACGGCCGTTCAGTGCTTCCAGGTTTTTCATGGTGGTCTAGCTTCAATTGGCTGATGATAATATCGATAAGTCTAATAAGGTATGGCAACTCGGACCGATGTATATATATATATATATATATACATACCAGGTCCTATGTTGTAACTAACTGTTTGACTAAATATAGATAAGTTCTTACATCCATCATTTTAGCACTCATCATCATTACTTTCAAAATCATTTCAACTAATCAGTGTATATAATACTTTTGTTTATGTTTGTTTGTTTTTTTTTGTTTTTTATTTCTCAGATGCCAGAATTATCGGCTAATCAACTTAAAGGTAATCGACGTTGTCATCAACCGAGTGTTTTATTTATATGGCAAAATTTTGGTATCCTTTTAGGTTTCTGTATAATGCTATTAATAGCATTTTATGAATTTCAATTTATAACACACTAACCAACAAAAAATATATATATATTTTTTACATCTTTTCAAATCATGTTTCTTTAAGCACACCCCCACCCATCCGCAAACTCCCACTCCCCATCTATCTCTTTTTTTCTTTGATGAAACAATAAAGAAGAGAAAATATTGATTATTTCCGTTGACAAATTACATTTCTATTTTTTCTTTATCTTTTTATCTTTTTTTTTATTTACCCAATTTGATGTAATTAAGAAAAACAAAACGTTATTCTCTCTTTTTTGTTCTTTTTTTAAAGAGAGAAAAACAATTTTTTCTCCTTAAATTCTCTCTTTTTTTTGTTTTTTTTCCTAAGAAAAAAAAGTTTATATTTAGATATATTTTGCTATTTATACTTTTAGTCTTAAATAAATAAATAAATAAATAAAAACGCTTTATGATTTTGTTTTGATGGTTAATTATGATCTTCATTTCAATGATCAAAAACTTTATTATCATTTCAATTTGGATTATTTCATAATTAGAAAAAGGAATGTATGCAGTGCTGTTTGTTGATTATTCGATTATAATGACAGGTAGTTCTTATTGTTTTGTTTTTCTTCTTTTTCTTTTCTTCTCTTTTTTTTCTTTTCTTGTTGTTGTTGTTTCATTTATTCTATTTAAAAATAATTTGATCAGAATGATCTTATTTACTGTTGATCTCATTTTTAAGTTCGATTAAAGATTTGTTTAGTGATGAATAATAATAGTGTTGTTTTTATCATTGGTGATGAAGAAGTTTTGTTGAGACTGTAGTCATTTCAATCGTTGAATTGATGAATCCATTAAAGCTAGATTCATCATGATATACTTGAACGTACTGGATGGTTGTTTTATTTTAATATGGGACTCCTCAACAGTCGTGTCTTCGAAACATTGCTCGTATATCCTGGGACCATCGAGTAAGTAATGCAGTTGTTGGGAAACGGGTACTAGGTAAGGATGGCAAATCAATTGATGAAGTAGTGAAACTTCATCAGTTGAGATGGCTGGGACACGTGTTACGTATGCCCAACGACCGACTGCCTCGACGTGCTATGTTCAGTGGTATAGAAGTAGATTGGAAGAAAGCTAAGGGCAGCCAAACCAAAACATGGCACAAGTCCATGAAGTCACTGACAAGTGTAATGAGTCATGTTGGTAGGTGTAGACTACCTGGTTGGGGACCGCGAGATGATAGCAACCGATGGTTAGAGAGCCTGAATGACATGGATCAAAATCGTTTGCAATGGTGTGTACAGGTGCATCCATTCTCTGTGTTCTCTCAAATTCTAATCTTCTGAATTCTTCATGTCCCTTTCTTTTTTCTCTTTCCAAACTTATTTCACTGGATAATACTCCTTGAATAACATTTTCAGACCCTAATGTTTCCGATTACTTCTTATACTTTTACTACCTCTACCACTACGGCATTTGAATCCACCACTGCATCTCTGTGCTAATGTGGTATGCCAACTCAAACTGATGTACGTACGTACGAAGTTCCAAGTTGTTACTGACTGACTGACTGCATATCTAGGATCCCACTACGAGATATTCGATTGCAGGAGTTATCAGTTTCATTCTGAGAAGTCCTTATACTAGGACAAACCAACTATTCGATTCTTTCATGGTAGGTTAACTGACATCAACTCATGAATTCTAACTATTGTCATTTTAATCGGAGAGAGTGGTTTTGTGGATATTATTGTAATGAGTCAATTGAAGCTGGATCATCGTTGAAAAACTTGGAAGTATTGGATGACCCTTTCTTCTTAATATGTGTTTCCTTTTTCCAGACTGTTTGAGTGTATACATTTGATCATTTCCTAATATCCAGGTGATGTACTTGTTTCTCTTTTCGCTTCTGACACTTGGAAACTAATCTCATAAGATTAAATCAACCGTGATTAAATAAGAAAAAGCATATATATATATATATATATATAGTTCATCCGTTTGATTCTTTTAATATTCGACATAGACTAATTGTAGCTGCAATTCTCAAGATGAAGTTTTAATAATTTTCAATGATGTAACTTCATGTACATTCTGTAGGGGGCGGGTAGTATCTTTAAATCTTCTAGATGATTACAATATATTATGTAACTCAAATCGATATGTAATGAGTTTCATCCAATCAGATCTTTATGATCTTGTATACAGGTTGTTCATCGAAATCTTATCCATTGAAATGACATTTAGTGGACTTACTATTGTAATTGTCATTATTTAGCTGTTATATCAGTCAGTTAGCTAGAAAGTAGGACCAAGCAGATATATGCATCGGTCGAAGTTGCCATACATCATTAGCACAAAAAGATGAACACCGGATTCATAGTAGTTAATCCGGTGGTGGAAATATATAAAAGAAAGATTGCCTACAAGGACATAGTACAGGGAGAAAGAATTGGTTGGTAGAAAAAAAAAGATATAAAGCGATTTTAATCTCCTGCTTTAAGAAAAGCCAGAGAGTATACACGCCAAAGTCATTATGATTGATTCTGAGCCATGTCACTTAGAGTTTTCAATTATTGGTTACGATAGTCATGCAGACCCCAGCCAAGTAGTCTGCATCTACCAACATGGCTCACGCTAGACGTTAATGACTTCAAGCTTTGATGCCACGTTCTGGTTTATCCACCCCTAACTTTCTTCCAACCATCTCCAACACTAGTTAGGATTGCGCGTCGTGGTAATTGGTGTTCAGGCACATGACACAACCATCTCAGTCGATGAAGATTCACAACCTCATCAACTGATTTGCCATCATTCCCTAATACCCTGCATCTAACCTCATTATTACTACCCGGTGATCCCAGCTGATGTGAGCAGTATTTCTAAGGCATCTGTGATCAATTACTAGCAGCTTACGAATATCTACTCTTAATGGCCACGTTTCGCAGTGGTAAAGTAGAACAAGACGGACTTCCGCGCAGTATACTCGTCTCTTAATTGATAGACAGATATCTCGCCTTCGCCGTAGTTGACGTAAGTTGACAATAGCCAAACGAACTCTTCGAATCTATGCAGAGATTTCGTCAGACACCAACTCATTAGGATTAATCAAACTACCAAGTTAAGCGAAGTGGTCAACGAGTTCAACTACTGGCATTGTTGCTCAGTGCTACCAAAAGATTCTGCGTTTTATCAGCGTCTTCATTAAACCGGTATTATATACTTTCTGACTATACATTTTCAAAAAAAAAGTTGATTATTTGGTTCTTTGCATTCAGTTTAGCTAACGTTAAAATAGACTAACCTTGAATATATGTATATTTTTAAAAACATTATAACAACAAATAATCAGATAGTTGTTATAACATAATGCACAAATAATTTTACTGTATACCATGACCTATCATTTAACATTGTTCATTTCATCAATGATCACGCAGAGGATGACTGTCTACATTAGCTAACTAACTACAAGTTCACACTTCATCACCAATTAATTTCATTCATGAACAATTGATTAGATATATTCATGTAAAAGTAAATGATCTACTTTGTGATGGTATTATTTCTATGGTAACTAATATCGCAGTTCACTACAATGTAACTTCCTAAATATTTATGAAATTTAATCTGTCACATGTATATCTGAACACTTCTGTACAACATAATAAATAGCCTGTTACTTGATCTTAATAGAGATTAAGAAAAAATAGACAAATGGTATATTAAATTAAACACTTATGCTTATATCATACGATATGTAGTTTAAGATTTAGTTTGTGTCGTGAAATACTGTTATGGTGATGTTTAGTCGCAGTCGACTAAGATCACCACTATAGATTGATTACGTGCTAATTATCAGGTGAAATACCTCCTTAGGATCATTAGTAGATGGATAGTTGTAGATTGTAGTCAAGATATATTTGCTGATAATCTCGTGGTATTAAAATAATGCCGATTTCGTGTCAAAGTTTACAGGGGAGGCTACCGTGCGTACATGAGTAAGCTCAAGATCACAAACAACGGAAAAGTGTGTTTTCTGGATAATTAAACAAAATGGTACAGTAAAACAATCACTGGTACAGTTAGTTATAATAATAAATGCTTTCATTACACCAACCGCGTTGTCTTCATAAAAGTAGATCACTACACTGTTTTGAAGTGGTACTCGTTCTCCATACTCCTCTCATGTAAATAAATAAGTATAAGGGAAACATTATAACAGTGATTCATCAATGTCTAAACCCTTAAATAGCTTTTCTCCGGATGAGAATTCTACGATTGAGTTTCTTGACTGTCCGAAAGTAAAAATCATTTTTTATTCACATAGTGATTGAGTGGTTGTGCATATCTGTAGCTTTCTATTTGGTATTCAAGCCTCAAATACCTAATTCACAAACTCTACTGAAACACTTAAACAATCACTTATGAGTCGGTAAATTTTACTTATGCAGACTTATTTTTCTGATCATTCTGTACAGGAAGACAGAATTGTTTAGATCTGGTTGACGTCTTTGATGTGAAGAGTCGCTTAGTTACAGGTTTGACGCTTTCAATGCATAAGTTCGATTAGTATTGACTGAACGACCTTAAGGCAAGAGAAGAAAACTATCCTACCTGACCTATGACGTGATTGATTGGTAAGCGGAGAAAGAAAACCACTGTTTATTCGATTTATTCCTCATTTAAATTGGTTAAAAGAGGCATAGAAACAAATATATGTGAGGCAAGCTCACAACCCACCATCATGTCCAATCTAGGATATGAGAAAATAAGACACAAAGGTCATGTTTAGATCACAACAGTTTTGCAATAGAAGAGAATATGACGGTCATTTAAACATTTAATCTACTTGTTTTCAGTTAGATACAGTTTACATTTCATGGATTACCAAAAACATGTGGCGTCAGCCAAGATATCCACGCGTTTATCCAATCGAGCACGTTAACTGAAATGCTTCTGGAGATGTAGTGAAGTTAACATGGAAAAATAAGTGCCAAGTCCAGTTTATAGAAAACAAATTTGATGGCGTTTGTCATCTGACGATTCGACATCAT